ATACTAATTAATAACGGTTAATCACCTAGCTTCATTTAGATAGATCTCAAACCAAAACAGCAACGTAAAACAATATCTAAAACCGCAAAAGAAAACACTTTTCGTAAACATACAATTTAAAGGAGATGGAGCAATTGAGTTTCTGAAAAATAGACTTTCTAGATCTTTCAGAAAAACATTCTGTTCTACTGGATTTCTCACTGTCTTCTGTCGCTCTTTGATTCGCGGATGTATGAAGGATAAGCTTCCGCTTTGGGCTATATGAACTTGCACTTATGAGTTTAACTTTTCTTGAGAGGAGAGATACACACCACACAAATCAAGCTCTCATTAAATGAGTCACTAGGCTTCATTCTCCTTGGTTTTCAAAAGGAATACTGTAGTTACTAGTTCAATATTTGAACACCACGCAAATACTAGTCACGTTACTCCTCCAGAGTCTTTCTTCAATGTCATTTATAATGTCAAACTAAGTGATTCAAAGGAATATGGATGTAGATCTGATATTTCCCTAAGCGGTTTCAACAACCCACTAATTCCAGCCTAATCTGTATGTACAAAATCAATATACATAATCACTAACTTTGCCATGGCTTTAATTCAATTCCTATCTTTCATACTCAGTAACCGATTGCTACTGCTCATTCATTATTTCGTCATCACTATTAATTACCCACTACTAAAACAGTTATCTATTCTACACTATAAATTCGTCAAATGAACAATTATCTCTCTCCAGTAAAATATTTATATATCTTTTACCATCCGCCCAACTAAGTAGTAAAGCTGATTGACTTTTCGGAAAAGAGAAGAGCTTTTGAAAAGACGTGCGAGACTGGAGCACTGGAGAAATCAAAGCAAATGGACACGTTCATAGTTTATTTTGATATGGTTCGTGTGCAGTAGGAACGTCGATTTGAATATAATTTGTGTATAACAGACGGATGCATTAGCAGTCCACTCCTGTGAGGTTATATTTCCTTATCACAATCGGAAACTATGTAGGAACCCAATAGCGTTGAGAACTATTGCGAATACACCAGTATGGGACGTGGTACAGTCGCAAGTATGTGCTACATGTATATATGTTATGCACACCCTTAAAGATGTATACACTTCATAGTGAACACATAAGTACAGACGCGCGTGGTCACAAAAATACGATACATGCGTATATAGAGTGCATAGATTAAGGCCTATGGACTCCATAGTATACAAATAGGTATGGATGCGACTATGTCATAGCTCAGCAGCAGTGAACAATAAATAATTTGCCTGCATTTAAATCATCTGAGCTGCGAGTCGTCTACTGACGGTATACTCCATCATATTCGTACCACAAACAAGTTTAGTGTCGACCATTGAGAAGTGGTTACGACACACTTTATCGATGTTCTTTTTGATCTGCACCAAAACCTGCCTAGAGATAATCCAGTCAAACACGAAAAGGAAAAATTATTCCTCCAGCTGTTCATTTCACTTTTGTCTATACAATACGCATCTTTTTAATAATCCAAATTTAAAACCAAGTGGAGGACTAGCCCGATTTCTGCCTAGCCGCTCATGTTAGTTCGTGACACGATATTTATCTATTTTATCATAGACTTATTTGTAATCATTAACTATAAATACAATTGTACAACTTTAATAAATAACATCGCTGTGAAGAACATTTTTTCCGTTGAATTGTCTTTATTGATTCTTGATGCAGTCATTATTATCATTATTATTATTAGAAGCTTTAGTCAACATTATATTTTTGGTACAATATAGAATTCTCAGCATAAAGTATTTCAACAAGTTTCCTTTTCTTATATCTTGATTGACTGTGACGATAAATTTTAAATGATGACTAGTTAGATGTTAGGAGTTCGGTAATCCACATTTGATTAATGTTCATCCGTTTCAATGCATACTGCCAGCCACCATGATGTCGCTGATTGTACCTTTTTGTAACCCGTATAGCGAAAAGTTGTAAACTTGTCATAAACGCACTTGAATAGATTGTGAGCACAATAGACATAATGATGTGCTAAAACAAACAAGAAGAACAGATAACCTGATGAAATATCTAGATCGGAGGACAAGTAGCCCAGATATTCAACCAGGCCGCTTAACTTCAATTAATTTTTTAAAGTCGATCAGCAGATTTTATTCTTTACATTGTTTTATGCCGAATCATACAGTCACAGTTTGTAAATCAGTTATATATTGATTACTTTAGGTTCAGATTAATCAGAAGTAAAATCTCTGACTGTTCCAATAATTCCTAATTCTATGAACGATATTCATTTCTTAAAAATTTCTATCATAACAAATTCGAGAATTGAATCTATGATTTTTTGAAAAATAATTATAACTTATCAACATCACACCATTCGATCTTTATTGAAGATATTCAGCTGGATGATGAAAGAGAGTAGTGAACTTTGATGTACTTAATCTGATTAATAAATGCCAGTAACAGATGTGTCAAATTACTAAGTAAACATGTCAGTTAAAACGTTAACTGTCATATTAGAATGTTTGTTTGGCTTATTTAAAATAGTTGTTAATATAATTGACCCTTACTTTCATAATGTCAATAATTTATTTTTCTCAATGAAGCATAAAATCGTTTCTTTTTATTTGAATATGAGATTTTCATTATCAAACTTGAAAAATTCTCCTGTTTCATAAAGTCAATTTGAGTACATTTTTATCATTAGTGATACTTCACTTAGAGTGAGATGTATTGTCTAAAGGGTAATGATGCTAACTATTTATTGAAATCGAAATAGTCATAGAATGGTTTAAAACTTCGATCTAAATAATTGTTAGTTGGTTGCTAGTAGTTGCAACTAACCTAACACTCTATACAACTAGAATTAAACTACAATATTTATTCGGTTATACTAAACACATTTTAATGATTACATTAAACATATGTGGATGCGTACTGCTAAGGAGCCAATCTTTGAAATTACTATAATATCCACAACCCCCCCTTCTGATAATTTGTGCAAGTACTTACAATCATTTCATCAACATCTAGAAATAACTGTGCAGATTAAAAAAACTAAAGGTAACTAGAACACTAAATCTATGCCAAAACATTATTTTAATCATTATAGTGATGTATATAATCGGATTTGAACTCATAAATCCAAATGGCACAGAGTAACTAAAAACTAATCCATTAACATTCTGAGAATTATGATTTAGAAGTATACTTATTACAAAAATCAGTACATGGATGTTAACTGGTGTCACCATTTTATTCTCAAACTTGACTTCTATTTATTTGACAATGAATCAAGAAATTTGACCCTTTAGGCTAATCATTGACCTACTTAAAGTTCTGTGAAATTTCTAAAATCTCCACAAACCCCTTCTGATAATAATCATCTGCTCACTAGTGACTGACTTCAAGAGAAATTTTCTAGAGTTCTAGTGAGAAGCCGTGACCAGTGGAGTTCAACCAGATCTGTTGTGAGATATCAGCTCACTGAAAACAATGGTGTACGGTGGCCCAACTTCGTGGATTGGTTGAAGTTAGACATTAACACCATTGGATGCCGCCTTAGTGGTCTAGTTGGTTAAGCGCCTGGTGCGAGACTGTAGGTCCTGGGTTCGAACCTTGTGGGGTGCGGGATGGTGGATGCGCACCGCTGAGGAGTCCCATACTAGGACGAAATGGCCGTCCAGTGCTTCCAGGTTTTCTATGGTGGTCTAGCTTCTATTTATCTGACAATGAATCAAGAAATTTGACCCCTTTAGGCTAATCATTGACCTACTTAAAGTTTAAAAAATTATTCATATCCATTTGTAGTATTTTTTTACATGTATTGTTTAACGTTTGTAATTTATCCCTAAATGACCTCAAGTATTTTGTACACATAGTTGTATATATATGTATATATACACATGAAGCAATAGATTATACAGTGGTCTACATAATATTTTTTACACTTTTCGAAAGAAAAACCATTTGATAAATTAGGTGTTTTTCTTTCTTTGTAAATTTTGACCATTTTGTACAAGAATGTTATGTCATCCAGTGATTCTGGTTCACATGGTCTTTATATATATATAAACACTTACCCTAGTTCAGTTTATTATTAACAAAGAATATGTGAACATGTAAGTATTGTCATTTTTGTCGTTTCCTAAAATTACACCGTATAATTCCCTTTTACACAAGCTCATAAATTATGTACAGATTCTCAAGTATTCTCCCTATCCTATTCTGTAAAAGTATGTAGATTTAGTATTCACCTATAATATGTATTGAATAATTGTCTTAAATGGGATACTAAATGATGCCTATTATAGTACACACTATCACACACAGATCAATGCAGTCACTACAACATCTACTTCACCTACTGAAGATATAATGCGAAATCCAATAATCAGTTTAAATTGTATTCATATTGATTTAAACAAAATACGTGTATCGGTTTGTGTCCTTTTTCCAATAGTAGAATTTGTGCAAACCTTAGGATTTATATTATATATATAGACAGGCAAAACTGATATCTATAAATGGGTGTATTTGTTAACTTCCCTTTCATTATCATCTATTTCCTTATATCAGTTAGTTAACTAGTTGAATAAAACACAGCTTTATGTGCACAATTCAATGTCGATTGGGCAATTAAACATATTTGTGTATATTTGTGTGCATATTTTATGTGTACATATTTCTATTACTAAACATGAAAACATGAACAAAAGAGAGATTATTTCTCACTTTACAAAAAAAACAAAAACAATTATATCCTTTTGTATATTTATAATCACTACTGTCGTTATCAACGTCAACAACAGTTCAATTTGAACAAAACTTTAATAATTTCTTCTTTATGTCAATGATTATTGAAGTTCATTAAATTGTCTATCATTTAATACATAATTACTTCTTTATTATTCAATTATATTATAAAGAATAATCAATCAAGAGTATTCTCTTGTATTAAATAAATAAATATATATTTTTTAAAAAATTATATCCAAATATGGAAACAGCATTTTCCAAGACAGTTGATGAAGTTTTAAATCATTTCGATTCAGATCCAGAAACTGGTTTAAGTGATGATCAAGTTAAAAAACAAACTGCAAAATTTGGTCCAAATGGTAAATTTTCTATTATTATTAATATTATTCATTATCTAATATGATCTAATAATACATTTAATTCATTAATTAACTCAAGTCTAATTGACTTATATTGAATATTTAACAAAATAATAATATTTTAATTTAATAGTTGAATTCATGAATCTATGGAAAATCTGAAAGCACTGAACGGTGCATTGTTGAGGAATTCCATACTAGGACGAAATGACCATTTAGTGCTTTCAGGTTTTCCATGGTGATCTAACTTCAATTGAATCATGAATTCACAAAAATACACTTCTCTGATAATAATATTTTAGTTTATTGGTAGTTAACATCTATTTATATGATTTTTTGACTATTTAGACTGTTTTATATTTTAAATGTTTATCTTCAATGATTACCGTAAAGAATGAAGGAAATATATTTCGTTATTTACAAAATACCATCCACTATATCATGGATGCGTAATGTTGTATTGTGGTGTGTGCTATTTATGTCGACGGACATAAGTAGTATGTAACATCAACCAGAAGTGGAATGCCAGGTAACAGATGTTTGGGAAGATCAAATTGAAGAGAACGGGAACAGCGATTCATTGTTATGACAATGAAGGGACGATAGTTTGAGACAATTGATGGAGGATTTGCAAATGAAGTATTGAATGTATGGTTTTCATACATTACGAAAGAACACTGTCATTTTGTATTAAAACGTAGTCGATTGTCCCCAACCTATGTTTTTTTCACTACTGTATATGTTTATTTGAAGTTTAAAATTTCGAATCTTTTTTGCATGGTAAAAACTGATTGAATTATTGAGATAGAAACGTTTTAATTCAATAATACTTTTACTTATTGCGTTAACCTATCAATTTTCAAGATATAAATGTGCTACCAAAGCTAATGTTGGACTTGATCGTTTCAAATAAATTGAACATTGGGTAGAAAGTTAATAATAAATATATCTTTCGTTATATTCTAATGAGTAGAAAAATTGTATTTCTGACGTTTCGTGGTTTAATGTAAGTAACTTCTTCAGATTAAATGAATAACTGAAGAAGTGACTTCAAGCTGAATCACGAAACGTCAAAAATACAATTTTTTTACTTATTGGGATATTGGGATATATTTATTATATATATGCCACAATGTATTAAAGCTGAAGTCTTAATCTTACAATTGAACACATTATATAATTTCATGATCGATTGTGATTTTCCACATTATTTCATTGCGTATGAATAAAAATGCTTGTTATCAGTAACAGTCCTATGGTTTCATAAAAGTTATAGCCAGAAATTTCGCCAGATGTTTTTCAAAAATATACTTTTTCAAGGCTGATTACATAAGATTTAATGTTATACTATGCTGACAAAAATTATGTAAAAACAGTTATAAATGTAGACATGTTAAAAAGAAAAAAGGAAGCATTTTTGATTATTTTATAAATGAGTTAATAATTAGTTGACTTATTAAAAAAATACTCCTTCTGATACTAATCAGCATATGCTCACTAGTGACTGGCTTCAAGAGGTATTTCCTGAAGTTCTAGTGAGAAGCAGTGACCAGTTGAGTTCAACCGGGTCTATTGTGAGATAGTAACTCACTGAAGACAATGGTGGATGCGTCACTCAATTCCGTGGATTAGTTGAAGTTAGACAATAACAGCATTGGATGCTAGCCGTGTCAGTGGTCTAATGCTCGCACGCAAGACCAGAAGGTCCTGAGTTCGAATCTCGCGGGGGGGATCGTGAATACATACTGCTGAGGAGTCCTACAATCCGACAGAACGGCCATCCAGTGCTTCCAGGTTTTCTGTGATGGTGTAGCTTCATTTGATTCATGATCTCAACTATTGAAATTATTAATAATTATTACATGAAGAAGTATGGATTAATCGTGTTAATCTGTAAATAAAAGCCTTCCAGTTTTTTTTTGTTTGCTTGTTTGTTATTCTGAGAAACTTACATATACTGTTCCATAATTAAATCTCAAACTATAATGATTGAAATATTCTAATCTTTCTAAATAATCTAACTCAGTAACGATTAGATTCATTCTAGTTACTAGATTAATGTTAAATTTCAAAAAATCCCATCAGTATTCAATAATGCTTATTGTATGTAGTAAATTAACTGAATTTATAAAGTGTAAATAATCGGATCTCAACCCAATGACTAAATAACATCATGTTCAATTCGACAAGGAGAAAAATTCTTGTACCTAAATAGTATTTTAGTAGTATAGCTAGAGAATATTTTACGGTATCGAATCGAGAAATCAAATGACTTTACAAGTCTTGTGTATTTTCTTTCATCAATTCACTTAATAATATTTCCCATTTAAAAAAATATATGATTTTTTTTTGTATTTTCCTTCATTGCGAAATTCCTTTCAAGATCACTTTAGAATCATTTTCGGCTTTTATTGTAATGAATATTAATATTAGCAGATCAATCAATAGAGAGGAGGATCGGTTGTTTGTTTAAAAATGAAATGAGTTCACTTCATTGAATTTATACAATTTTTTTTTCATTATTGTCCAATTAATAACATACTTTATATGTTTTCCCAATTTCCTTTTCAGAACTTCCTGCTGAAGAATGTAAGTAGAATATTTCTATTCAATTAAATTTTAGTATACCGATACATAATGAGATTTGATAAATAATTCTAAATCAAAATAATAATATTAATAATAAGTTAATAACTTTTTAGTAAAGTAATCAACTATAACAGTTTAAGGAGCATTACATAACTAATAACATAAAACACTACGAGGTGAATTTAAAGCTTCACTCTATTGCACAAGCAAGTGGCTATCAGAACTCAGTAGCTAAGTAGATAGTGTGATGGCGTTCGAAGTGAACGATACCGGGTTCGAGTTCCAGAGTAACATTAACTCTGTGATGCAGGTACATCCAGCTGACAAGTCTCAAATGGGACGAAACGCGTGTCCTGGATTCTACTGCAGCCATTATTCATCTTTGCTTATAATATTAAATTGATTTGAATGTTAACTTATGAACAAATAAAATCTAATCTATGTGATTAGATGAAGATATCAGTTTTTTGGTAAATTATTCGAAATCATGGAAAATAATATTTGTATTTGTATAGTTTATTAATACGTTCTGTCACTGTTCATGACATTCAAAATACAAACAAAAAATAACTAATTTAATTTAATTTTTAACGAAGTCTCTTCACTATATGAACTGAACAGAGTTAAATTCTCATAATTTTACAACCAAAAAGTTGTTATATATGATGATTTGTACTAGTTAATAAAAATCTACAACAGTATGGTGTTATTAATGAATACAACAATATATTTCATGTGTACGTGTATGATTTCGGGTAAATTATGTTTGTTTTCACTATTGCATTCAAGAGTGAATCTAAGCTAGAACCAATAAGAACTGGACGGCCGCTGAGTCCTAGTATGGGACTTCTCAGCAGTATACATCCAAGATCCCGCAAGCGGGACTGTAACCCAGCACCAGTCTTGCACACGAACGCTAGACCTCTAGACCACTAAGCCCTCATCCAATAGTGTCAATGTCTAACTTCAATCGATCCATGACCTAATGCAATCATTCGTCCATTGTGTTCGATGGTTAACTGTCTTACATTCAACATGGATTGGACTCCGCTGGTCATAGCTTCTTACTAGAACTCCTGGAGTTACATTTTGAAGGTAGTCACTGATGAACACAAGATTATTATCAGTATGGGAATTTGTGAAGATTGTAGTATTTTCACAGTTGGAATCGCTAGTCGATCTAACCTGGACCACCACTGAAAATCTGGAAGCTATTCAGTGCTTTGCCAAAGATATTCTTCATTATTTATAAAATTAATTAATTAAATAAAATCTACTAATATCTTATTTTAAAAAATTATCAATTATTCTATATAATTTATTTTCAAACTTTCATTATAGCTAAAGCAATTTGGCAACTTGTCCTTGAACAGTTTGATGATTTACTTGTTAAAATTTTATTATTGGCCGCAATTATCTCATTCGTAAGTATTCTTATTTTTTGTTTTTTTTTTTGGGTAGGGGGAGAGCGAGGGAATAGTTTAGGATGTTCCAGTTCCATTTTTCATTTTTATCTTCTAATGAATTAATAAGTAAAGATTAAATAGAATAATTTCAACAGAATAACATGTATTCATTTCAATTCATTAGGGTCTTGTTAGTTGCTTACCAACTAAATTATTTAAAAATTCTAATTATGAAGTTCATTAAAAATATCTACATAAATGAATCTAGTTGAAATTCATTATGATCAAACATCAGAATAGTAGTATAGCAAAGATGCAAATAAATTTAAGAGATCAAGTAAATGTTTTACATAATTATATCATATGTAAAAGAATATTTTACAATATTAACATTAACACCGTCGATGCCGACTCAGTAGTCTAATAGATAAGTGCTCGCGTGCGAGATCAGTAGGTTCTGGGTTCGAATCCCATGAGGCGGGGTCGTGGATGCGCACTTCTGAGGAGTCCCACAATAGGATGAAATGGCTGTCGAGTGCTTGCAAGTTTTTCATTTTGGTCCAGCTTCAATTGACTCATGATCTCAACTATTAAGACAAATCAATGAAAAACGTTCCTCTTTTAAACGATATCATTTACTTAAGCTGTACAATCGTGAATCTCTGCAAATACTTGTCCATAACCAAAAGGAGAGGTATTGTATGATTTAAGAAAACTTATCAATAATATTCAAAGTCTAAAATATTGAATATGATTGTCTGTAAGTAAATAATAAAATGTTGTATTATTGAAAATTAATAACACTAAAGTGGTATTTTGTCATAAACTATTCATAGAAAGTCAAAATATTCCAACTGATATTGTGATGTACGCTACTGATGTCAACATATATGAGTAGTATGTATCGTCAATCGAAAGTGAAATGCCTGGTGGTAGAAGGTTAAGAAGATCGAATGAAAGAGAACGAGAACAGAGAATGATTGCTGTGTAAATGAAGTTTGAGACAATGAACTGATATCTTGCAAATGATATATTTACTGTATGGTCTTCGGATTTTACTAAGGTATTCTGTAATACAGTGTTCAAATACATTCGATTGTCCCCGTTTGTGTTCTCATTCGCAACAATAAAGAAACAAGTATTTTACTAAGACATTTAAACTAGATTAAAATTCCTTTTTTAAAGTTTTATTTGACGTAACATAATAGAAGTCTATGTGATTTGATAATGGTTCTCACAGTTAAAGATTATTAGAACCACAGTGATTTTATTTCGAGCACCACTGGAAATTAGGGATTCCTCAGTAGTGCTTACTCACGATCCAGTTGGAGAGTATACCGAGCACGTTCAGGTCTCACGGCAAACACTTGGCTGCTAGAACTACTGAACAGACCTCCAGTGGTAGAAATCTAATTCTAACCAATATGAAACACGAAGCGACAACCATCTTGTCCAGTTGGAGACAACCGTCTTACTCCTAACATCTGCACTACACCAGTTAATCTGTGACAAATAGAATTCAAAAATTAAAAGTCTGCACTAAAACTCTTCAAGTAAATTATTAGTATCGATTGAATACTGTGAAATCAAGACCTCTAGTTTTGACCATACTCACACTCTCTCGTTAACTGGTAGCCTATCGAGTTCTGCAAACGAAAAATATTGTTCAGCAACATGATGTTCCATATATTATATGATACAAGCTTATGATCCGTATCACACAGTGGAATTATGCCTTCTATTATTCACACTGGATACTTAATATCTTATTAGATGTGAGAAAACGTAGGTCCTGTTAACAGCAAGTTCATGTAATAAGAATAGTTTTTAAATACTGCAATACCTTTGAAAATATTCTATAACACGTTACAATTAGTAACATCAAGTTGGTATTCTTTGAACAGAACACAGACCTTGATGTTGAAGCGTCTAGAATTACATAACAAATGTTGTGAAATAATTGTTACTTGAATTTTTCATTTTCCGTTGTTCCATACAACAATATCAACATCGAATTTCAATTCCATAAATACACATTTACACGGACTGAATTATTTAGGCTTCAATTTGAGAATCCGGTGTACATTCTGTTTTGACCAACTAACCTATGAGGATCCGTTTAAATTAACAAACTCTGAACTTTGTTTCGATTCATTCACGCATAGATAAAGTGCGAGGTAGCATTATAGTTCTTCAATAAAATTTTCTATTATTCTGAAAGATAAGCATGGCCAAAGTAAGATTATAACCGAATAAGAAGAGGGAAGACTTGAATCAGAACATATTATAACTAAAAATCTGATGTTTCTCATAAATATGGATGTTAAAATGAAACTATTCCCAACATTACAAAATTTATAAACACTGGGATTTTACTTACTAAATGATTATTTAAAATGAGAATATTTAATAATGAAAGCTCGAGAATAAATTTAAAGACATCAATAAAACCGCCAAAATCAAATTGAACTGCAAAAATCACAATTCATGAAATTAATTGATTTCTTCACATATATTCGACAAAATCACCGGGTAAGTAATAGTGAGGTTAGACGTAGGGTATTAGGGAATGACGGTAAATCAGTCGATGAGGTTATGACTATCGCAACCAATGGTTAGAGACTCTGGGTGACATAGCTCAGAATCGATCACAATGGTGTAAGTGTATACACTGTTTGTCTTTCCTTAAACTATAAGATTAAAATCTCTTGATATCTTTCTTTCTACGAACTAATTCTTTCTTCCTGTAATATGTCCTTATATGCAATCTTTCTTTTACATATTACCACCACTGAATTAACCACTTCTATGAATCCGGTGTTCATCTTGTTGTGCTAATGAGGAATTGCAACTTTGACCGATGAACATATGTGCCTGGTCCTACATTGTATCTGACTGACTGAATGAATGACTGATTCGACAAAATATTTGGTTTTTATACTATTAAAATAAAGTCTGTATAATCTTCAAGATATGGCAGTATTTATTGATGAAATTCTTAACAATGAAATATGAATATTTATAAATAACATTAAAGTATATCAGTAGTAGATCTCTCTAAGATTGTTTCTATCCATTTTATAACTACATTTTCCTCTAGGTACTTGCTTTATTCGAAGAGAATGAAGAAAGTATAAGTGCATTTGTGGAGCCACTTGTTATTCTTCTTATATTGGTCGCTAATGCTGTAATTGGTGTCTGGCAAGTAAGTTCATACTTTGTTTCATATTTTGCTGTTTGAAGAAAGTAATAATGGTAATAAAAGTAGTAATATTTGTAAATTTTAAAATTTTTTAGTAGAAATAGTAGTAGTATAGAAATGATTGAAAAGATTACTGTTTAATATAATTTCTATAGTCAACGTCAGTTGAATAACATAAAATAACTGATAATAATTCTGACAGTATGAGTTTGTGGTGGTCGGTATTCGATATAATCCTTAAACTTCGTATACAGTTCGTCTTCATAACCGTTCTATATAACGTCCCAACGGTATATTAATCAGAAGGCAAATACGAAGTGTTGATTACGTTTAATGCGAGACCACACACATATATCCAAATGTACAGATGCGTTAAACAAGCATAGAAGAGTTGTGCCGAAAGGCAAGCAAGCGAGTAGGAGCCAGAGCAAGAGCGAGACGAGAGTGTGTGAGTGAGTGAGTGAGTGAGTGAGTGGGTGAGTGAGTGAGTGAGTGAGTGAGTGAGTGAGTGAGTGAGTGAGTGAGTGAGTGAGTGAGTGAGTGAGTGAGTGAGTGAGTGAGTGAGTGAGTGAGTGAGTGAGTGAGTGAGTGAGTGAGTGAGTGAGTGAGTGAGTGAGTGAGTGAGTGAGTGAGTGAGTGAGTGAGTGAGTGAGTGAGTGAGTGAGTGAGTGAGTGAGTGAGTGAGTGAGTGAGTGAGTGAGTGAGTGAGTGAGTGAGTGAGTGAGTGAGTGAGTGAGTGAGTGAGTGAGTGAGTGAGTGAGTGAGTGAGTGAGTGAGTGAGTGAGTGAGTGAGTGAGTGAGTGAGTGAGTGAGTGAGTGAGTGAGTGAGTGAGTGAGTGAGTGAGTGAGTGAGTGAGTGAGTGAGTGAGTGAGTGAGTGAGTGAGTGAGTGAGTGAGTGAGTGAGTGAGTGAGTGAGTGAGTGAGTGAGTGAGTGAGTGAGTGAGTGAGTGAGTGAGTGAGTGAGTGAGTGAGTGAGTGAGTGAGTGAGTGAGTGAGTGAGTGAGTGAGTGAGTGAGTGAGTGAGTGAGTGAGTGAGTGAGTGAGTGAGTGAGTGAGTGAGTGAGTGAGTGAGTGAGTGAGTGAGTGAGTGAGTGAGTGAGTGAGTGAGTGAGTGAGTGAGTGAGTGAGTGAGTGAGTGAGTGAGTGAGTGAGTGAGTGAGTGAGTGAGTGAGTGAGTGAGTGAGTGAGTGAGTGAGTGAGTGAGTGAGTGAGTGAGTGAGTGAGTGAGTGAGTGAGTGAGTGAGTGAGTGAGTGAGTGAGTGAGTGAGTGAGTGAGTGAGTGAGTGTTGAATATGAATAACATGGACATATATATACCATGTGAAGTGAATGAGTAATCGAATCAAATAAGCAGTTAGTAGTAAGACTAGCAGAGTGAATAAATGTGTAGGCCGTAAGCAATATTCAAGCATACGTATTTCATACAAGCACAAAATAATAATGGTACAATAAATTGTTATAGTGCGGATGACTTTGTCCGCTAAATGAGTTAGCAAAAGGGCTTAACTGCGTTGGATGAGACTAAACTCATTTGCACGTGAGTCGCTATAAGTTCATAATATAATATATAATTAAGGCTGGAACATCTATATAGTTATTTGGGTCAGAAAACTCTCAAACCCAATTAGTAATAATTTTGTGTAAATTGTATGACATTCATAAGTCAATGAAGGGATTGAACTGAACGCACATTAAAGCTTCGTTCAATTTGTGATTCGAACTACTTGATTACTTAATCCACTCATTTATTTAAGGACAGTTCATCTCAGAAAACCAACATTGATGAAATATTACAAATTGAAAAACATTGAATAGCTATTTCTTCACATTCTTTTCATTCAGTAAAGCATATTATTTACAAATCTAACACAATATACTCCAATATCCTGAAATCTCATTTTAAGATTCAGTTATTAAGATGGAATTCAAGGGTTAAACATTCTGTACGTCGATCATTTGGTTATATAACATGATCTTGATAAGAAATTCACAGCTAACACAAATTTTTAATCAACTCGACTGATCTAAGAAGGTATAGCTTCGTGGTTTCCAGTATACTACTAATAAATGTGATACAGAGTATCTTTATAAAAGTTGACATGAAATTTTATTGTTAAACAAATCAATTATGATTAAATCTATTATTTTAAAAAACAAATCACATTAGGAACGTAATGCTGAATCGGCTATTGAAGCATTAAAAGAGTATGAACCGGAGATAGCTAAAGTATTTCGAAAAAGTCATTATGGTATTCAACGAATTAAAGCCAGAGAATTGGTACCAGGTGATATTGTTGAAGTATCAGGTAAGTGATCATTTTTAAGTGTACTTGTTCTGTATATGATTTGCATCTTATGCTATTATTTTAAATAAGAAAATAAGATTGTTATGAGAAACTACCTTGAATAGTTTTGATTACTTCATTCGATATTCAGTTATACTAGAAGTAATGATTTACAACATGATATTACTCGGCATGATTAATGCAGTAATTTTTCCTTTATCATTAACATTTGTTGTTTTAGTGTTGAGGTGACCCAGAATATTCCTCAGGAAAAGCCTAGAGGTGCTCTGAAAACGTTGGAAAACATTTTATGCAATCAGGATCCAATAAAAGTGTCTCAGATACATCTAGAAAGTGAAACGTCACATGTCATATTTCTGATTGTGTGATTATTTATCTTGCTAATATGTTTAGTAGCGTTCCAAGAGCTTCTGGAAGCCCGAAGCCATCTAAAATTCTATGAACAGCCTAAATTTTCTGTACATAAATGAACCTTGTAGTAAAGCGTTTTTTCCATGTTTCGCGCCTTTTCTTTCGTGTTCAAGTCATCGTATAGACTTAACCTGGCGTAATTAGAAGAGCTTAAGAAGCTGATTCAAACGTTCAGTCAAAAGGCTTATCATTAAAATAATATTCCTTTATCACACACGCACTAACCATTTTTACTTAGCGGTGAACTTGTGACTGAAGACAATATTGAGGCAATATGGACAGGTTGTATATATGCCAATAAGTGACTGATCAATTGTAGTCCTAAACATCAATGGGAAGATTCAAACAACTAATACAAAAATGTATTTTTGTATAGTTTTCGATTCAATTTTTAGAAGATAAGACGATGTAGAGATTAGTGAATTGGAATTTATCTTCTTAAATGTTGTATTATAGAACAATAAAGTATAAAAGAAGCTTCGTTATATCAGATTTTATTCTGAAAGAGAATGTGAATTGTAGTTAAGCGAACAGAATTTCATTACAAATATATTTTTAGATTATTAGACAAGAATGTCTAAAGGATCTGATTAATGGATGACAATAAAACTTCATAATGACTGATATAGTTATGTATGATATTTATGAAATATATATGCTTGATTGTTACTGATTGTTGTTATTCACTCGGCTAAGAGACTCAATAATCGTACTTAATTACAATAAACACGAAAAACAAAAGTATATTCCATCCTTCCAAACACTGATGAACCCAACCTGTAACAAATAAGAACGTAAAAGAAGAATAGAAGTTCTATTATAACATCAACTAAAAAATATGAAATACGAGGATAGTTACAAAAATTATTCGTGTTGATGAGAGTTAGTTACTAATGTTATGAGTTTTAAGGTTCTAGATTTAACTGTATACACAATGTCTGAACGTTTCAAAATAGCTATTCGAAATATTGTTGTGTTTTATTTTTTTGACGGATTCGGGTCACATATTTATTTTTACACCTTCAAACATCAATTAATCATCTAACTAACTGAACAGCATTGAATCTTGCGAGGAAGGATTGTGGATGCGTACTGCTGAGTAGTTCTATACTAAGACGAAACGACTATCCAGTGCTTCTAGGTTTTCCATGATGGTCTAGCTTCAATTGGCTCATGAATTCAACTGTTAAATGACTATGATATCCACAAAACTCATCTCTGATTAAAATTTAATTACTTAAAGTTGTTATTCTATGCCTAAGAAGCGCAACACAATTTTTAATAATAGATTAAACAGTAAATATGTTGTAATTCAATGATATTGACTTTGAACTATTAATGAATACCGGTAAAAAAAATTTATTTGTATTATGAAGGTGAAACTGATTTCGTTTTCACTGTCTGGATCATGAACTAGTCTCATAGATGATGTATAAGGTTGCTGGGTATAAACAAATTATATTTCAATGATTTAAATCATCAACTAGTTTACTAGTTTCTAATAAAATCTCTTAATTGAAAGTATTACTTTTAATCTTATATACTGTTCTAATCAACCGTTTAATCAATGAGGTTATCCTTCACTAGTCGTATTTACCTTATCTCAGATATCTATTTTAACAGAATAGTTTATCAAAATTAAAGATGATGAATGAAATGACAACTAATGAGTGACTAACATTATTCTATCTAGTGCTAAGCTTCAATTGATTACATTTAAAGTGTCCGCATCAAATTCTACCTTAGATATCAATTTTTTTAAAAATGTTGTCAAGCATTATTAGCTAGACGGTGCCTTAATCAAACTTCACATTAAATTCCAGAAATGGTACATACATTCTATTCGACCAAGTTGAAAAAAAGAACACAAAGGTTTCTGTTATCCATTAAAATTAATCTATGTAGTTTAGTAGAAACAAATCAGTAGTACAATTCAAATTACCATTTGCTTATATATATTTGAAATCATATGGTTTTCAATTGTAAGAGATATTCATTCAACCAGTTTTATATGTTAAATAAATAAAATAAATGTTGATTCAAATCATTAGATGTTAGTTCAATAGTCTGAATTAAAAGCTTTTGTCTCAACCTCTGAATGTTCTTAGTTTAATTCTTAATGGGATCATAAGAGAAGTAAAACTTATCTAATAATTTTCATTTTCAATGAGTTGTGTACCGAAAAATAATCAATATTATTAACTATCTATTAAAAGGAACAAACTTCTTATCTCGACGAATTTATAAATATCAGAAGGGATTTTGTGGAGATTTTAGAAATGTTTAACTCAACCAATCCACTAAATTGTGCCACTGTACACCATTGTCTTCAGTGAGTTGATATCTTATAACAGACCTGGTTGAACTCCACTGGTCACGGCTTCTCACTAAAACTCCAGGAAATGTCTCTTGAAGTCAGTCAATAATGAGCAGATGATTATTATCAGAAGGGGATCGTGGATGCACATTGCTGAGGAGTCTCATACTAGGACGAGACGGCCGTCCAGTGCTTTCAGGTTTTCCATGGTGGTCTAGCTTCGATTGACTCATGATTTCAACTAGTGAAATTTGTAAATACTTGACATGGTTTATAATAATTAGAAAAGAATTAAGAAACAATCTGACCGCTTTCTTTTTACACATTAATTTTGTTTATTTTCCTATATAGTTGGTGATAAAGTACCGGCTGATATGAGAATAATAAAAATTATGAGTACAACATTAAGAGTGGATCAATCCATTTTAACTGGTGAATCTGTATCTGTAATTAAATTCACTGATGCTGTACCAGATCCAAGAGCGGTTAATCAAGATAAAAAGAATATTTTATTTAGTGGAACTAATATTGCAGCTGGTAAAGCAAGAGGTATAGTAGTTTGTACTGGTCTTATGACTGAAATTGGTAAAATTCGTAATCAAATGATGGATACAGAACCAGATAAAACACCATTACAACAAAAATTAGATGAATTTGGACAACAGTTATCAAAAGTAAGTGATTTATTGTTTGGATATTTTTTTAAAAACATAAATTATATATTTTCTTCTCTTTTATTGCAGTTTTATTAGTCTTGATACTATGACAGTTATTCAAAGTCAATAGTGGTTGAGGTAATCATCACGAAACCTAGATTTTCTGCTACTTTATTCTTGTCGTTAGTGTGTATCTTCCAGCTTGAGGAAAACTAATGCCCAATAGCACAGATAGAGATGTCATCAATTAGATATCCAATCAGTGACCAATCTTCTGTAGAACTGAGTGTTCGAAGAGTTATAAATAGCATGATATCAAGGTCTAGGTTCATCTGTTCAGCAACTCTAATCAACTATTACCAAACACAGATTATTACAAAATTGAGTTAAACAGACAAGTGACATAACGTAGTTTGCACACGTTTTACTGTATGTAATTTCTAGCTAAAACTATGTGTACGAAATAAGTTTATAATCACGCTTTCATTCCCATGGTCTCAGTCTACATAAATATTTTTCTTATTTAACCCCTTATATTCTTATTTTCATCTTACTGTTTTCGTTTTGGTGATACGTTACTTCTTGTCTCTGACTCCTCTCTAATTTATTATAATTTAACATTCTGATCTAATAATCTATAAAATTCATTTGTTTCTGTCTGGTCAAATCCTATTCACTTACTCATAATTAGATTTAGTTTTCTGCTAAGAAAAAATTCATATACATGTCATCATGTCTGTACTTCACATGGATTAACTCCTCTAGTCACGGTTTCTCATGAGAACTCCGACAATTCCCTCACAAAGCTAGTCACCAGTGAGCACATTGAAAAGTCAATCTTAATATTGTTTCAAGATAAAGTGTTGACATCAATCAATACTATTCCATGGAACATTTTAAATTTATCGGATTAAGATACAGATCGCTCACAATAATAAATATTTATTTGATTAAAAAATGTTAATAAATTTAGAATTTGTAAATTAATATCACCTTCTCATTGTACATTTGTGAACGTGATAAATTAAACAACCTGAAAGAAAATATTGTTATCAGTTAATAAATTAAAAGACACCAAAAGCCATAGAGTATCAAGAAGTTTCTTATTATTAGAAGACTTCTCATGTATATATGCTAGCCCCATATTATACAGATTAATATTGTGATATGTGCTACTGATGTCGATAGATATATGTAGTATGTGTCATTAATTGAAAGTGAAATATCTGACGACAGAAGGTTAAGAAGATCAAAGAAAAGAGGACAGTAACAAAGAATAATTGGTGTGGAAACGAAACAACAACAAAGTCTGAGACAATTGATTGACATTTTGCAAATAAATTATTTACTGTATGATTCTCAGATTTTACTAAGATATTTTGTAATTTAGTGTTCAAATACATTCGATTATCCCCCTTTGTGTTCTCGTTCACTACAATATCATTACTGTATTCTGATGGTAGATTAATGTAACAATTAGTTGTTCTTTTCCATTTCAATGAATAATATATATGTATTTCTTTGATCTGAAATTAAACAAATATTCAATACAATTTAATGTACACTGACTGCTTTTTGTACGAAATGTATCGATTCTCTCCTTCTTTTTGAAATCGTTAAATTCTCAAAATGACGAGTCTAAATGGCAAATATTTTATTTAACCATCTTATACACTTCATTAGATTATTGTATTACTGAATAAGCTTATAAGATCATTTTAACATGATAACATAAACTAGAATTAATTTGACTAAATAGCTTAATTTTTATAGATTGCCATTATCTCTCAACTTCATATTCAATTAATCATCTTTAATCGGACTAAAATTTTGTTTTTACCACAAAATTAAACTGTTTCATTGTTTGAAACAAAACAAAGCAACATGATCTAATCAAATTAAACTTTTAGTAATCTGTTTATTGAATATTATTCAATTCAGTACATTAAAATATATTATTTACTTACTTACCTACTTATTTACGCCTATTACCCCTCTTGGAGGAACATAGGCCGCTTACTAGCATTCCCCATCCAATTCTGTCCTAAGATTGCTAACCCACTCCTAACCCTCCTGCTTTACCTGAGCTTGGAATAGGCAGTAATTCTAGAGTGACACAGGGCGGAGTTATACTGTTTACTTAAACTGGTAGTTTTTCTTTTTTTGTTAAAAAAAAAATCAATTTCATTTTAGTAACAGAAGATAGAACACACTTAAATCGGATCAGTTTTCATTTCAATAATTCAATTTGGTTCCATTTTGATTTTTTTTTAAATACTTTTTATTCATTTCCACATTATTGTTTAAAATGGGGTTCAGATTGCGTCTAAAAAAAAATTACAAATTCAACATTATTATTATTATTATTTTATAGATTTTTTTTATTTTGCTTTTATTGATTTTAAAAATTTATTATACTAAGCAACACATTTATCACTAGTGTTATAGAAGCACTTGTGAACAATTCAATGTAACATGTGATCTGTTATTAAAAAGAAAATCTCAATATCTATCATTTATAGATTTGAACATATGTGTTAAGTGCATATTAACCTATAGTAAAACAATACATTGGATAAATTATATTTTCAAATGTTAACCAATTTATCAATAATATACAGCACTGTAAAAATCAAATTATTGATTAAGGGAAATTTACTGATTAGAAATAGTTGAAGTAATGGAAACCAGTGATTAATGATATTGAATAACAAGGATATGATCTAAAAGTATATTTAGATTGTTAATTGTCTTCAGTTTGAATCTGTTGTTAAGTCGATTCATTCATTGTTCATGATATTATCTCTGAGTTTTTATCTTCTCTCGGTATTTTTTTTCTTTTTTTATGCCATGTTGTATGACAATATGAATGGATAAGAATTGAGAAAGTGATACTTATCAGAAACTGATGTCATCTGGCAAAACATTGAAGACTCAATTTACTAGACACCTTCTAGATCTAGGTAGCTATATGTCAGGGGATGCGACACCTGCTGCACTAAAAGAGCTTGAATCTATAACTTCGAAACCTGACAGTGGATGTAAAGTATATGAATCCACTCAACGGAAACTCGATACTCCCGAATCCACGCCAACTTGTCAAATAAAGCAATACTATTAATTATTGTCAATAAACAATGTCATTGTCTTACTATGAACTTAATCAAGTCCAGAGATAATGGTATTATAGACGCCTAACCACCATAATTCTTTTTGTTTTCACAAGCTTAACAACGTTTTAACTTTCATAGATATGTAAGAGGAAATTGGGAAAAATGTGATCCTATTATTATTAGTAGTAGTAGTAATAAACAATAATAATAATGGTAGTAGTAGTATTACTACCATAATGATTATTAAAGACTGTCGTCTATCGTTCATTTATGCAGGTTATACCAGTCGAACTCTGATTTACATATAACAGTCAGTCCTAAGAGTATAAGGCACTATACAGTTTGTCGTTAGGTCACCAATCCAAACATTTTTCGGTATAGATATTTGCGGAATGATGGTACAAAATTAGCGTTACACACATTCCTAAGTTTACTAGTTAGTTGAATAGCTGAATGACATGGAACAACTTTTCTTGAAGTTAATATTAGTCAGTCTATAACCATATATCAAGCGATTCGATTGAACGTATAAAGATGGGCGCAGCATATAAGAATGTCATTTTCACTAGAAATTTTATTGAAACCCATGAACCTCATTATGTCTGTGTTTTCATTTAGTATATTAGAATGATCTACTCTGACGTTCTAACAATATATGGTTGTTGATAATCCCAGACTCTCAAAATGAAACTTCTGGTGAAAATTACACTCTTATATGCTGCACCCACCCACCAAGTAGAGGAAAAATTGTCTGGCGACACTGGATAGTGTACACTTGCTTAAGATTGGAAAATGGCCGGAATACTACGGCCAACTCAGAGTGATCGGAGAAAAAAACCATAAATTGAAATTAATACACATAGAAGTGTTGGAATTTCATACTGGAAACTAATCATTCCGATGAAAATAAACATCATATCAGGCAGTGGAATAACCATTAATCATTCTTGTTTAATTTACAATCATTGTTTAAATTCTTAAACCGTAAGACTAAAATTACTTTATACCTTTCTTTCGACGAACTAATTTTTCTCCCTGTATCATAATCTTACACGCTATTTTTTATATATAACTACCACTGAAGTAACTACTTCTATGAATTTGATGTTCATCTTGTTATGCTAATGAGATATGGCAACTTGAACCGATGCATATGTGGGCCTGGTTGTACGTCATAGCTAACTGACAGACTAACGATCCCTTAGACTTCAGCAAAAACATTCACTCACTACTCTAATTGATATTCACCAACAATCCAATTAATATCAGCTGATGATGAAAATAATCTTTTTTGCTTTCTGTTAACTCAATTAATTTTTAATGCGTACGGAATAGTTGAACGTTTTTTTAACACTTGTGTGTGATGAGCATTTATGTATAAGTTAGTTAGAATTCATGTCTAACTGTTACCAAACTTATCTGTATTGTATACATTATAGGATCCTTAATTTCTTTGTTTAATGATTGAAATTTCTCCCTTTCTATCGAACTACTGCACGAATAAAATTTAACTATAAGGTATATGTGTACGCATAAATGAAAACAGTCATTATGTACAACAGTGAATGTTAAAGTCACTAAGAAAAAACCTAATAATTTTAAGGATACTAATATGACTGATAGGTCCGGAGTTCGAATCCAGCGAGGCGGTGTCGTGGATGCGTACTGCTGAGGAGTCCCGAAATGGGACGAAACGACCTTCCAGTGCTCCAAGGTTTTCCATGGTGGTCTAGCTTCAATTGACTCATGATCTCAACTATTGAAAATACTACTATGAAATTTTACGAAAAAAAAGTGGAACATAAATTTATATGAGATAATTTCTAATAGTATTCATACTTTTAAGAATATTGATTTCATCTGATAATCCCAATTTCACCTAATCTACTAATTCTGATTGGTTAATAGATATTAGGAATTGGTGATTAGATTTGATTGATGGAAAAAATACACCTCCTCTATTCTCTCTCACTCTCATTTTCCTATTAGATTTTCCGTATAGGATTTGCTCCTTTTCTTTTATCTAAAAAAAGAATAAATACTAGGCAAAGTTCGGTAGATTTTCAGTACATGTGTATTTATTCAAGAAAAGAACTACGCGTGTGTATATTTTTATGTGTAGACAAGTGTGGATGTGTTACATACATGTACATTGTATGCATGTTAATACGTGTACCTGATACTGAATACATATGTTGTAAGTGTGCATAGCATTATAGATCTTTAAAAGCATGATAACCTACTGGTCAGACAATCAGTTCAACCATAGGCTCAGAAGTCTTCATTATAAACACTGTTGATTAGATGAAATCTCATTTTAATTATATTCACTTAGTCGCTGTATATTAATATTTTTTTACTACTTACTTCTATCGTATTTGTGACATTGAATAAAAATAATAAAGAGAACTCACTGAAGAAAACCTTCTTTTCGACGAAATCATTTACTTAAGCTGTACATTCGTATTTATAGTTATATAGAAAATATATGTCTGTAGAGGGATAGAAAAGATTGAATCATAAATTGATTCGAGACTTTTATTATCAGATGAGGTCGCACAATAATCAATGGTTAAGATAAGAATATAAGGCTGGAAATAATTTACGGGTTTGAATTATCAAAGATAATCTTGAAAAATACTATAAAAAATAAAGTACATTTTAATAACCTTTACAGTGGTTAATTTGTTTTCTGAACAGGTTACTTAGTACATCTTATTGATTTTGTCCAAATGGTTTTCATCATTGGGACGAATGATTGACTAGCTACAAATTATTTTCTTTAAAATAGACGATAGATTTTGTTTTCAGTCAAGGTGAATCATCGACTAAAACAAATTACATCATTTATAAGCAATAAACAATCGATTAAATAATCTGCAAGAAATTTCTAATGAACTAACATTCTATTGACTGACATTGGTTAGACAAATGTTAAAAACTAAGAAAAACAAGACAGCCGTTTCATCCTCATATGGAACTTCTCAGTTGTGTACATCTTTGACTTACTATGAATCGAAGAAAAATTTTCCTCATAGACTTTATCAACTGAACAACTATTGTTAGCTGGACAGTATTGGATAGCTACCTTATTCAAGCTTATGACATAACAGCAATGTCCATTCAAGATTTGGAAATGAATTACATACAATGAATAAAGGTTGTGATCTATCAAGCAAAGCTAACTATACTTTAAGATGTGAGACAGAATATTTAAACATAATGTTTGAGATGGGATCGTATTCAGTTCAATGCTTGAATCAATACTGAGTATTTGCAATAACCAATCAAATAAATATCCGGTTTATTTCTGGCACATAAATTATTAGGTTAATCTCCACCCAAACATCTAAGTGGCAACACTTCTGACTGCAACTCAAAGTGATCGTGACGAGGACACTTCAGGGAACATCAGGTGTTTGCTAAGAATAAATAAAGCTTGTTGGTGTGTACCAGCTAGTATGATGTTTAGACCCAAAGATTCTGGTATATACCTTCAACAACATAACCGAATTTCATTATCTGACAGTTTGTTTAAACTTGTGCGTACTTCTTGATGAAGAATACTAACAGACTCAATATAACATAGTATTTTAGGGAATTTTAGCAGTTGTTTTCAGCAACTGGACATCTCATTATGCTTCTTTTTAGTCACGTTGCTTGTTCGATTGACGGGAACTAACCCAGTGAACTATTCATGACCCTTCAATTTCAAAAATTTTACTTCATATTGTTCACTTTTTGAAATAATTAGGTTATTTCAATTATTTGTGTCGCTGTATGGGCAATTAATATCGGACATTTCAATGATCCAGCACATGGTGGTTCTTGGCTAAAAGGTGCTATTTATTATTTTAAAATTGCTGTCGCCTTAGCTGTTGCTGCTATTCCTGAAGGTTTGCCAGCTGTGATTACAACGTGCTTAGCATTGGGCACACGTAGAATGGCTGCTAAAAATGCGATTGTCCGTTCACTTCCATCGGTTGAAACATTGGGTTGTACAAGTGTTATTTGCTCCGATAAAACAGGTACACTGACTACAAATCAAATGAGTGTATGCAGAATGTTCATCTTTTCTAAAGCTGATGATAAAGCACCAGAAGTGCATCACTTTGAAATAACTGGATCTAAATATGCACCAGAAGGTGAAGTGTAAGTTACAAATTTTGATGGGAGGTTACTTTATTTCTCAAATTATTTATGACAACACAAAAGATTCATTTCGTCTTTTAGAGAATGTAAATTTCAAAATAAGTTAAATCTTTTAAATAAAGTTAGAATAGTAGCTTACAGTCGAATCCAGGATGAGTCTTAAATAGAATGAAACGTTCATCCTGGGCTGCACTATTCACGACAATTAAAATATGTGACTAAATGACAATTTCGAAGCAATCCTCACAAAATATACGAATGTTGAAAGAGATCAGTCACTTGTAGTCTATAGTTTTAGCAATGAGGATATAAAATAAATCCTGTGATTTGTAAAAAAAAATAAGATGATTATTAGGAAAGGAATTGATAAAACTTTATCTTATACTGTAGATAAGATTTAACATTTATTACTAACATATATGGAACCATTAAAAAATTATTGAAATGTAGGGTGCTGTTTGTGTTTGACTAAACGATAATCATGTATCTGTTCAAATCTTCACGATAGGTTACTTAGCATTCCATTACAGTTATCATATATGTGTGTGTTTGATAAATGAAGTCATGAACAAGTGCTGATTGACTACAACAGTTTACGTTTGCAACAAAATGATAGGTCCAGCTAGAACGGAAAGTACTGGAAACTGAATCCCAAACTTTTGGGTAAATGTTAACACCATGAAACAGGGAAGCACAATGAACACATCTCTCCAGTCCTTTTCACTTATGAATTACAAGTTAGAACAGATCTCTAATTCAATAATGACAAGAAAACAACTATTATTACTTAATGGCACTGTCCACTAGTATTAATCTTTGTGTATGTGAAGGATATTAGTGTTTTAATTGATGTACTATATTCATGTAATTATAATTTACGTATGAATAAATAAATGAATTAATAATGAAAAGTATGTCATTTGTTCAACATAGCTTTATTTATCACCACTATAGTTCAACTACCAGGAAACAGAATGTGAGAGTACAATACAATACTCAATGTATTTTTCGTATATGCGCTGATCCACCAATTTGATTAATGGTACTGAGACAAGAATTGCCTGATCAAATAATATATTATTCTACAAATAATAATTAACATGATCCATTATTCAGAATGATTAGTTGAGATGTTACTAGAAACATGCACTAGGACCATCGTTTTTCTGGATAAATTATTCTGATAAGTAATTTTTATAAAAAATAATATAGTTTGTTCTAAATGAATCCGATAATTCAGAAGATATCAAGTTTTTATTTGGTTTATCATAATCAGATCAGATCACACGCCATGAAGCATCACGAAAAGAACTGTCATTTTATATTTTATACACAAAACCGCAATAAACTAGATTCCTGATATAAACAACTGATTACAACGTTATTTATTTAACCATTGATTATCCGACTTGAAAGTCCACATCTCTGTTTTTATCTAGGTTACTTGATTACTTACTTAATTACTTACTCCTGTAACTCCTCGTGAAAGCCACTCACCAGCGTTCTCCACCCAGCCCTGTCCTGGGCACTTCTTTCTAGCTCCTTCCAGTTGTTATTCATCCTTTTCATATCTTCTTCTATTTCCCAACGTCATGTGTTCTTTGGCCTTCCTCTCTCAGGTTTCCCTTCAGGAGTCCAAGTTAGGGCTTGCCTCGTGATGCACTTTGATGATTTCCATAATGTATGCCCTATCCATTCCCATCGTCTTTTTCTAATTTCCTCTTCATCTGGAAGCTAGTTTGTTCTCTCCCACAGTAGGCTGTTACTGATGGTATCCGGTCAATGGATGTTGAGTATCTTGTGTAGACAACTATTTATAAATACTTTTACCTTCTTGATGATGGTTGTAGTAGTTCTCCAAGTTTCAGCTCCGTACTAGGTTACTAAATATTATATGTGCTCATAATATATGTACTTAAAACTAAATCTATGTACTTAAGGCTATTTGTCTTTACCGCCCAAACTTACAGTTTTTTCTGGAATTATAATCATTTCATATAGCTTTTAAGATACATTATATATCTGTCGCAATATTTCATTTAAATATGTCAAGTGATTATACTTTTGCTTTAGACTTTGCCATCAAAATGATAACTGTATAATGAAGGTCAATGTTATAAAAGTAAGCCGGAACTGGTGGAATTCAACGGTGACAAGGCAATTACTCACTGAAGAAAATAGAATATTGTTGGGCTGTCGTAAAATTATCTGTAAAACTATTGGATACCGGATGAGTAGTCTAAAGGTTAGGCTCTTGCTTCGGGACCTCAAGGTCCTGAGTTGAATTTCTAGAATACTAATTAAGAATAAATGAAATTAATCAACTTTATTTAGATCTTTCAGTTTTTTCCTCACGAACGGTTACATGACTTGTAAGTAATGTCACTATAATCGCGAAATCACATTTTAACTATTATTTGATTTATCATTAATTTTGTATTCATGTAGATTTTTAAATGGTCAAAAAGTTGAATCTGGTGAATATGATGGGCTTGTTGAAATTGCAAATATTTGTGCTATGTGCAATGATTCAGCTATTGATTATAATGAATCTAAGCATGTTTATGAAAAAGTTGGTGAAGCAACAGAAACTGCATTATGTTGTTTGGTTGAAAAGATGAATGTTTACAAGACTTCAAAATCTGGATTATCCAAGAAAGATTTAAGTATGGCTTGCAATCATCAAATTCAGGTATATTCTAATCAAAAAATTTCCGTTATTTTTTTGACAGTGTTACTTTACTGCATTTTACTTATTTGTTAATGTTTTCTTGAAGAGAATTCTTTTTAAGATGGCCTTCTTTTGTTCAAACTTCATTGTGGTGGGATTAACGTTAGAACAGATGTATATTCAATTCATTCACATTAATAAAATAGAATCTGACCAATCAGCAGTTACTGTTACTTTAGTACTTCCCAAAAACTGTCAGGGGCTTGTGTTTGATTCCACAGTTTATGGTCATCCGTTAAAATTAGTCTAAACGTTCATGTATTTGAGTAGTTGTGTGTTGATGATGGCATGAAAAATAAAATCCATGTACGAAAAGTGAAGATCAGGGTGTCTTATACTGACCTAGCTCATCTTTGAAGCAGCTGTGATGTTATTTTGGTTGTAAAAAGTTGGTTTATAACAGCTTTTTTCTGTGCTTGTGAAGCTTAACCAATCTGAACTAAGCATTTCAGACAACGTTCTCTGTCTGGTCACTGTTGTTTCCAAAGAGCTACTGATATCCAGTGGCAACACTACGTGAGTAATTCTAATGTTCGGCAGTTTAGTGAAGATAATTCAATTAGTGTTATGATTTTAAAACAGAAAGGTCGTCGATATGGGCAAATATGAATGCTATTTCGGGTGGTAACCGCACCATACATTACTCTCCGACGCTGAGACTAAGTGGAAAACTCTCAGAGTTGATCAGTTAATGATGTGGCACCAAAGTATGGAAAATGTATAGGACTGGTATCCGTCGATTAATCACCACTCTCTGGTTAAGGTGTAAGGGGCGGTACAACTCGGTGGCTTCAGAAGTTATTGAACATGGCTCGGAATAGAAAAAAATGACAGCGCTGCTTTGATTTTTTCATATTCATTAAACTGAGAGGAATTTCTTTAACTGAAAGTAACAGTTTTCGGTTGTACTTTTAATTGAACTTCATCAATTTAATGTTACAATAGATCATCGACATTTGAATAAAAACCTTGGAAGTCATATAAAATGGATTACCCATCTGATAATTTTAACAACTTTATGGATAATTGCGATTTAATAATCATTTGGAAATCCTTTACAGTGAATATAATGTTGATTTTAGTTTAATTATAAACAATTACGTCTAAATAATTCTAGCCATTCACTAAGTGGACTATCAAATTTGGATGTTTTTAATTGCACTCAACATCCATTAAATGACAAATAAAACATTCTTTTTGTTAAAACATGTTTTTTTTTAAAGTTAATATCAGTTAAAGTATCATAAAGAAGCATAGAGCACTGAAAAACTGTTTTGTTTTAGTTTAAGATCCTAAATGAGCTTGAACTTTTGATTTCTTTGACATATATTAAAATCAATCAGTCAGAACTGTATAGGTTAACACTTTTATTTCAATCAGTTCATGATATAGCACGATCTGTATTCAACGTTTTCCAGGACCTACTGTCTTCTTACCCTAACCCTATTAATTTGACTCGGTTATTCTCAGTTTCTTACAACAACAAAAAAAGATAAATAGCTTTACGAAACCATCTACATTCACGTCCTAAAGTGATTTCTTTTCCTAAAAAATATATAAACAATATTTTAAATAAAAAGCATAAATCAAGTTTACGGTTTGTTACAAGCTATACCCTATTTAATAATGACAATTCTACTGTAAATTTCATTCATTTAAAAGTGTCATCACATTGTATATGATTTCATCTCTTTAAGATGAATATAATTAATGGACTTTATTGAAATACTTCAATAATAATATAGTATGAATAATAAATCATTGGTAAATCAATTTTTACAAAACAACATTAACTAAGCACTAAATACTTATGATTACCAGATTAAGACAATTAAATGTAAAGTAATTATTTAATAACATTTTTGAAAACTAAAACTGAATGTCATTCATCAGTAAAATACATTTTGTACAATACATATAACAAATAATTAACAATCTGTTCAAAATCTCTACCCATGATTTGTAAGTATACGTTGTATTATATGCATTGGAACAATGAATGATAAATTGTTACTAATTATGTCAGATAATAGATAAGTGGTAACGATGAGATTATTAGATTCTGGTAAAAAAGACCTATCGCAAGTTATATAGAATAGACAGAATGTGACTAATAATAGAATCCAGGACAGTCGTTTCGTCTCATTCGGGACTCACCAGGAGGGTGTACTTGATTCCCAGAGCTGATGTTCCACTGTTAGCTATATCCTATCCACTGTATGTGAACTTGTAACTTATTGGTTATATTGAAGCCATCAGCACTTAATGCACATATACCAATCAAGACTGGTCAAGTTCAGTCGAAATATAAAAAAAAACAGGATAATCTAAACCACTACAAATTACCATAACTCAGATTAGTATAATATGATTTCCAGTTCCATAGAAAGCAAACTGATTTTCTAACTGATAACTAGAATGAATTCACTGGCATCTCGGAAGAATAATAGTTTAATCACTTCTAAAGCAATGTTATTTTCCTAATATCAATCAGCTGATCCGTATGAATTAATAGTATTGAATGACCAATTCAGTTGTGAGAAGCATAGAAAATTCAGAAGCCAAATATAATAAATGGATCGATTATTTATGCACAACTGAGATTAAACAAGTAAACAAGAAAACTTGAAATTTTACACCAAATCCGGTACCGTCACTACATATACACTTTGAACAACAAACCAACAACGATTTATGACTAAGAAACGTTAAATTCATAATAAGAATCTGTGTGGTACAAGCTAGTGGCTCACTATTTCAGCGAATAGAACGTTAAATGATTAAGTTGAAAGGTACTAGGTTTAAGTCCTTGTATCAAAATCAACACGAATTTAGGTTCATCCAACTGGCAAGAACAAGCTCAAGTCCTCGATCCGTCTATTTGAAATAAATTGAAAGGATATTATTCAAATTCAATATAGTGTCACTTAAAGGATGTCATTGCAGTCATTAAGGCCTGAGAAACAAATTAATTATCAAAAATGGGACTCTGAATAAACAGAATACATTTTCAGTACAGTAAGGTTTTATTGAAATATAATTTGAAACTCTCGTTATATGTACTAAACATAATACAGTTTACCTAAATGTCATAAATAGAGTGAGGTAAATGTGACTTTGTCATTTCATTGTTCATTGAATGATTTGTTATTAGATGTGATTTTAGTTTGAACTTGGATGGATAAGCATATCCCCTTTTCAGTGCAAACTATTGCATTCCAACTACCTATTCACATATGAAATAGTCAAAGTCAACTTAGAAACTGGAAACGTTTAACTATTCCTAAATGCGTGAGGTTGCTCTTCAAGTTTCCAAATGTATTTTGCACTTACTTATGTAAACAGCTTATTTATTTACGATATTTCTTATATATATTTTTTACGTTTAAAACCATTTCAGGCCATGTGGAACAAAGATTTCACTCTAGAATTTTCACGTGATCGTAAATCAATGTCTGTTTACTTACAAGCTAAACCAGCGTTTTCATCCAAAGTCCCAGCTACTGCAGGTTCCGGAGAGACAGGACCTAGAATGTTCGTTAAAGGTGCGCCTGAAGGTGTATTGGATCGGTGCACATTTGTACGTATAGGCAATAAGAAAGTACCCATGACACCTACATTGAAAGCTGAAATAGTGAAACATGTAGCATCTTATGGAACTGGTCGTGATACGCTAAGATGTTTGGCTTTAGCAACGTGTGATGCGCCAGTGAGTAAAGCACAGATGGATTTGGAAGATTCGACTAAATTTGTTAAATATGAAGTAAGTTATATGACTAATTATACGATTGTTAATAATCCATAATCTATTGACTTTAAGTTGAAACGAATCAATGTAAAAAACGGTGTAAGATCTATCATGATTAAGCTGTCCGATCAAAGGTAATTGGTTAACAGCTATTAATCTGAACATAATGTTTAAATTAAGTCAGTAGGATTAACTAAATTGTTTCTCAACCTATCAGTTTTTTAGGATGAAGTATGAGATATCCATACCAAAAAATCTAGAGAATGGAGGTAACTAATCTTCTAAAGTATCAAACTATATAAATAATGACTTCAATGAATGAGATATAAAATCTCTTCCTACCTCGTAGCATATTCAAGTGTAGTACACGACACCTTAAATCTGTATTGTTGTCAAATTATTAGATTGATTAGATTCAATTCTCAAATAGTAGTCCATTCAACAATATTCCTTAAGTGAAATAATGTTCTAACCTTTCAACTCAGTAAGTGACATTGAAAATTTAACCTATAGATCATTATATAGATATTCAGTTGTATTATTCATGAATTACTTTTGTTATACTGCTTGATTACACAGACATTTAATTAGTATTCAAATTTCACTTTAATATAAATAAAAAAAGATATGATAATGGTTTTAGAATGAATCACTTTTATACTATAATTTTCTTTACATTTAGCAAAATTTAACATTTGTTGGAGTTGTCGGTATGTTGGATCCACCACGTATGGAAGTATTTGACAGTATAGCAAGATGTCGTAAATCTGGTATACGTGTTATTATGATAACTGGTGATAATAAAGCAACAGCTGAAGCTATTTGTCGACGTATTGGTATTTTCGGTGAAGATGAACCAACTACGGGGAAATCTTTTACAGGACGTGAATTTGATGCATTACCAATTGAAGAACAAAGAGAAGCATGTAGACGAGCAAGATTATTTGCACGTGTTGAACCTATGCATAAAAGTAAAATTGTAGAATTTCTTCAAGAAGATGGTGAAGTATCTGCTATGGTAAATAATTATTATTATTATTATTATTATTATTATTAGAAGCTTTATTCAACATTATATTTTTGGTACAATATAGAATTCTCAGCATAAAGTATTTCAACAAGTTTCCTTTTCTTCTATCTTGATTGACTGTGACGATAAATTTTAAATGATGACTAGTTAGATGTTAGGAGTTCGGTAATCCACATTTGATTAATGTTCATTCGTTTCAATGCATACTGCCAGCCACCATGATGTCGCTGATTGTACCTTTTTGTAACCCGTATAGCGAAAAGTTGTAAACTTGTCATAAACGCGCCTGAATAGATTGTGAGCATAATAGACATAGTGATGTGCTAAAACAAACAACAAAACAAATAACTCGATGAAATATCTAGATCGGAGGAACAGGTAGCCTAGATATTCAAGCAGGCCGCCATATCATGTGTATTATTTCCATAAAATTACTTTCAAATCAAGTGTTAGTTATGCTTTTAAGTTCTGTATGAAAACTTCCTTTAAGTTGTTGAGGGATCTAGAAATAATGTACACTGATAAAATATCGCAACATATTTTCATTTGGTATTATTTTCAATTCAATCAACTAGTGGATTTATGTATTTATGTGCATACTATACCTTGAACCCCATAAATAATACATTAAGATCTAGATCATCATTAAGATGTTGAATTACACTAACCACCTACTGTTCAACAAATACTAGTTATTATTAGACGTTAAACTTTCTTTTAGTTAATTTACAAAACTGTATAAAAGTGAATTTACAGAATTATCAACTTTTCGACATTACTGTCGATTACATTTTTACGATATTTTGTACTTGTTATTACTAGAAGTTTGGATATTCGATTTACCTTGTTTCAATATTTTCTAATAAATTGGTGTTTTATAGATTGTGTATGATAATTCGGTGTATGATTATGACATAGTTCGTATCGTAAATGGTGGTAATAAATAAATCAACTGTCTTCAGAGTATGTATTAGTTTCACAATATTTATTTCATTGTATGTGATCTATCCTGAAAAATACGTAAGCTGAGAACATAACACGAGTGGGGACAATCGAATGTATTTAACACAAAATTACAGGACTTGTTAATAAAATCTAACAATCATAAAGTAAATGCTTAATTTGCAAAATGTCCACCAATTGTCTCAAAATGACTCAGACTTCATTGTTCTTCCATTTTCATACAAATTGCATTTAGTTTCCATTCTTTACTGTTCGATCCTCTTGTCTCTTTGCTGCCAGACCTTCTGTTCACGACTAACATCATATACTACTTATGTCAATATAATTAGCATACACCACATCCATAAAATCCAGGTTCCTAGAATGTTCTTTTTTGTTATCTGAATACACTATTATGATATGGAGGCTACAATGAGATGATTTAACACTTTAAAATTGTGAAAGGGATGAGTTAACTAACGCTTCTGGACTTCTAGCGATGTTTTATGGTATGGAAACAGAGAAAGGAAAAACTATTGTCATAAATGGACAACATTTTGAATAAAATTTATGCAACTTAAGGTCTATGAAAAATCGTTTTGATGACTAAAATAGCATATTCATTAGAGAAAAAAATGCATAAAACTAAAGTGAAATTACAATGAAAAACAAAAAAAATGCTGAAGTTGATCAAAATTATATCATTCGATCTAAATGAACAGAGAACAACACACGCGAAATATGAAACAGCTTGGATTAATTAGATCAGGTTAAGATTAAATGAGTACATTGGACATTGTGATCTAATCACTAAGTAGATATTGTCAAAACTTTTGAATATTTAAAGATGAGATCTAATCAACGTCATATTCTATAGACAATTTAACTTTTTAAATCATCATGTTCAGATCAATTATAATTGTCTTATATACATTGATGGCATTCTATATTTGATTTATACTTATTTTATCTTGATAGTTCAATGGAATTTATTTAAATTTCACTTTTCACTATAAATTAAAATAATATTAGTATCAGGAGGAGTTTTGTAGAAATTATAATAATTTTAATAGTTGAGATCATGAGTCAATTGAAGCTAGACCACTATGGAAAACCTAAAACACTGAATGGCCGTTTCGTCCTATTGTGGCACTCCTCAGCACTACGCCTCCACGATCCCGCCTCGCGAGATTCGAACCCAATTTCGTGGATTAGTTGAAGTTAGACATTAATACCGTTGGACGCCGGCTCAGTGGTCTAGAGGTTAAGCGTTTGCGCGCGAGACCCATAAGTCCTGGGTTTGAATCGTGGATGCGCACTGCTAAAATAATATTGCATCATTGTGTAATAAAAAATTTTCATTTATATTAAAAACACTATATCTTCACTCATCTACTATTTGCTTTCCTTTCCTTTTCTAATATAACAAAACAAAAATCAATTAATTATAACCATATTACTAACAGACCGGTGATGGTGTAAATGATGCACCAGCATTGAAAAAAGCAGAAATTGGCATTGCTATGGGAAGTGGTACAGCTGTAGCTAAATCAGCAGCTGATATGGTATTAGCTGATGATAATTTCAATTCTATTGTTTTGGCTGTTGAAGAGGACGTGCTATTTATAATAACATGAAACAATTTATTCGTTATTTAATTTCATCAAATATTGGTGAAGGTTAGTTGATTTTATTTTGATGAAATTAGATAAGACTTTATTTCTAAATAATGGTTCAATTATCATATAATAAGCGAATAGATGTTAAAGTCTAATGGGAAGAATTACAAATCTAGATGTTGTTGATATCAGTATTTACTATCGAAATCAGTTCATAAATGTTCCTAAAACTTATATATCTAATTCATCGAACTTCATAGTTTAGATACTAAATGTTTATAAACAACTCTGTCGTGGGCAATCCTTTCCACTTTTTTACAGTTGCTATTCATTCTTTTCATGTCTGCTTCTTATTCTCGACGCAGTGTATTCTTTGACCTTCCTCCTTTTCGTTTCCCTTCAGGATTTAAAGTTAAGGCTCGTTTCGTCATGATTACCGTAATTTATGTCCTATTCGTCTTTTCCGAAATTTCCTTTTCAACTGGAAGCTAGTTTATTCTCTCCCAAAGTAGACTGTTGCTGATAGTAGTTTAGGATAGGATCATTTCACATTACTTTCATTTAATTATTTTTTTCCGTATTGACTGTTATTTATCTGGCTTAGACAACAGTTAATTAGGGAATGAATTTCCTTACCCTCTCTTAAATATTGTTTCGAACTGCAAAAACATATTTTGGAACTATTTAAAAGCCATAGCCAATGCAAAAGTTGAATAACATTAAAACAGCTGTGATATAAATTTATTATTCAAACCCAGCATTGCATTAATGAACAACTTTATACTCTTATCCATTTGTTTTCTTGAAAACTGTCCTCAAGAGTTTATGAAATGATTACCATTTTAATAACAATGAGCTCTCTTAATCACGCTATCATTAGTTCACATTTAAGTTCGAACATGGTTACAATCAGAAATAATTTGTTTTACAAAGGGACATATCTTTTTATAATTCACGAGAAATGTCCACTTAAACATATTGAGGATATATTTCGGTAACATTCAAACAAATCTCTATTTTCTACATACTGATGGTCATACCCTCAAAACTTATTGTCAGGGGTAAGGAGAAAACTACAGTCACTTTAATGTCATCCAAGAAAGTTCATCATTTTACCATAAATAAAATTATCAAATTTATTTTGGTCAGTGTAATGCAGTAAATCTGTATTCGTAATTATCGGTCCTGATGACTAAGCTATTGGTAAAAATTGTTCGTTTAAATATTCTTTGTATTGGAATATTGTGTAGGAGATCTTTAGATCAGTAAAAGTGGTTCAATTTAACTGTCATGTGTTATAATAACATTTAAATAGATTCATAATCTAGTAATAAGTAGTTAATATTTAACGTTGTAATACATTTGTACAAGTTATGCAATCATGCATAAGCAATAAGGAACTAAATATAGGGGAGAACTGGAAACGAAAAGTGGTCATGTGAGATCGAATTTCAAAGGTCAAAATGATAATGAAATTCCATAAATTGGAAATAATAGTACAAATAACTTAGTGTTAAAATGATGTGTTTGACGTGATAAAAATTTATTTTTAGATAAATAAAAAGGATTTAAATTTTCAAATCACTAAAGCTGTGACTGGCTTTGGAATGAAGTTTCGATGGGCTCGAAAGATGTATTCAGATCATTTCTATGATCACAGTCTATCTGCTACGATCATGCATAGCAATGGTGGAAGTTGGAAGTCTGTTGATAACCAGGAGTAATTGTATGGTTTGACTTAATCCTGTAACTATCTTTAAATATGTCCAAATATCTTTATCTGCATAGACCGATATGTTCTTATTATCTATGCTTGATCAGATGTATGTATAAACTGATAAATACTATAGGCGTTGACATTACATTTTGAATTCTCAGACTCTTAATGTATTTCATTTAAACTATGACCTTATAAATGTTAGATCACCATTGAAAACCTGGAAGCACTGAACGACCGTTTCGCCCAAATATAAGACTCCTCAGTGGTGCGCATCCGCAGTCGCGCACGCAAGGCTCAAGCCCATGGCCTTCGGTATCGCGTGCGGTCCCGTACGACGGATTGTGGATACTCACTGCTTAGGAGTCTCATACCAGGATGAGATAGTCATTCAATGCTGCAAGGTTTTTAATAGTGGTCCAACATTGATCGGCTTATGATTTACATGAAATTCAGCGATCTCCACAACCCCAAACTGAAAATTAATGTATCTAGTATCTTTCAGTTTTATTAGTTTAAGTACATAACACATCAAAATCCCATGTATGTGGATAGGTAACCCTTAAAGTAAATGGATGATAAAACTCAATATTTTGTCGACAATTATCGATTAATATTTGTATCTCATTCCCTCGAAAAACGTAACTGATTTTCATATTTAATCTAATTGAATATATAATTTATCGATCTTCATTTATGCGGAACTGCTTAAAACCTGTGATAATTTGAGCAGTTTTATTCAGAAAAATTCCCTATAGATGCTTTATATTATTAGTACATCTATTATGTGATCAATTTATTAACACTACCAAATATTAGGACAAATTTCTTTTTAATATATTACACCAGTAATTCAAAATGTATAACACTAATTATTCTTTTCTTTATTATAGTTGTCAGTATCTTTTTGACTGCTGCATTGGGTCTACCTGAAGCACTGATTCCAGTACAACTACTTTGGGTCAATTTAGTCACTGATGGTTTACCAGCTACAGCTTTGGGATTTAATCCACCTGATTTAGATATTATGGAACGTCCACCACGAAATATTAAAGACCCTTTAATTTCTGGTTGGTTATTTTTCCGTTATGTTGCAATTGGTGTTTACGTTGGATGTGCAACAGTTGGTGCAGCTGCTTGGTGGTTCAGTCTTTATCCTAAAGGACCACAATTGAATTACTATCAGTTGGTAAGTGTAATAAGAAATGACTATGAATAAAAAAATTCTTCTCTTATGTTTTTAAGGAAATATAAAGACAGAAATACTAAACAAAACGTTAAGCCTCTACATTTTCTTTTTAATTAGACGTTTTTTTGGTTTACTTCAATCTATTTACCATTAAATCTTAAAGCTATTAATTCCTGTAAAGTTGAGTGGAAGTTATTCATTCAATTAAAACAGTAGTCATCTTTCCTTTTAGTTTGAATTTGATAAATGTAAATATCTTTATAATTATAAACACTTTTTGCTCATGGGTAAAAAGTTAACACTAAAATTAACCAACAAATCAGCAACTTACTTATAGACCATACTAAAGCACTAACACAAACTGATTAGTGAAAAAAGGTAAACAAACGTTTCTCGTGAATCACGATAACGCATTCTGTAGTACTTATCCATTTATACATTTCATAATATGATATTTTATACAAATTTCGAATTGTAAAAAGTTCAGCAATGGAAGTGAAAATCTATTTTATTCTGATTCATTAATTATTCAATAGTTTATTTACAAATAAGGAAATAATTAGTGTCAGAGGAGTTAGAAATACATCAGTTACCGTTTTTTACTTCTGGTCGCTAATATTCCCCTACCTATGCACAACAACAAGAAATAAGACTAGAATGAATCAAAACACCGTGTGAAAGGATAACGTTTTGATGCATAGTTAAAACGTTTGTGTAAATTAGTCTAATATGAAAATATGTTTTGTGAAAAATTATTACTAACTAGATATTCAGTAAACATCTGGAAACTCCCAGCAAATACTTCATTCTGATTTGAAGTTCCTCAACAGTGAACATTTAAAACCTTGAAAGAGACTGTTTCCAACACTTAAATGTCTTACGTTATTTACTAGAAGTTAACTTTGAGAAGTGAGAAATCAGAAATATTTCACTGGTGACACTGATAGTCCTTGAACTATTTCACAGGTCAACCAAAGCTGGAAAAGTGGACTATAGTTTTCAACCTAATAGTCTAAAAGCAACTCTCTTACCTCAAAGTCTAAAGATTCTAGGTGTAAATTGTTGAAGACGGAGCTTTTTTGAGAATAAGAATTTGAATTGTCAATATCAAAAATTATTTATCACAAAAATTTATGTTGTTAAATATCATCTTATAAACGAAATATCACAGATATAATTAAAATTTACATTCACATCAATATTTTCTGTAAATTAGCACCGATCTGTTATCCAATCACAAAAGAAGAGGTAATCATAATTGATTTATTATGATGATTGAAATTTTATTGAAGGTCAGGTTGGCAAAAAATATATTTTACATCAATATATTTATTTATTTTCATTAACCAAAAACAAAAATACTATTTAATATACTAAACACATAAATAGATTTCATCAGATTTCTCTTATAAAAATAATCAGATATTTATTATTCTTTCAATGATTTTAATAATTGACATTTTGATTCAAATAAACAATGTATAAATATCTTCAAAAAATGGATATATTCAGTTATTTTGTTTTATTAATTTAAAAGTACATTTTATATCTTCTTTCAAAATATCGATAGAAGGTAAATGATAGAACAAACTGATTGACACTATGAGTCAATTGAAACTAGACCACCATAAGGAACCTGGAAGCACTGGATGGACATTTCGTTCTAGTATAGACTCCTCAGCAGTGCGCATCCACGATCCCGCTCCCTGCGTGATTCGAACCCAGGACCTATCAGTGTCGCGCGCAAGCGCTTAATCATTAGACCACTGAGCCGGCATCCAACGGTGTTAATGTCTAACTTCAACTAATCCACGAAATCGCGCCACCGTACACCATTGTCTTCAGTGAGTTGATATCTTATAACAGACCTGGTTGAACTCCACTGGTCACGGCTTCTCACTAAAACTCCAGAAAATGTCTCTTGAAGTCAGTCAATAATGAGTAGATGATTATTATCAGAACGGGATCGTGGGTGCGCACTGATGAGGAGTCTCATACTAGGACGAAACGATCGTCCAGTGCTTTCAGGTTTTCCATGGTGATCTAACTTCAATCGACCACGATTTCAACTATTGAAGTTACTAAACTCTCCACAAAACCCCTTCTGATAGAAATTACTTATTGAAGTAAGTAAAAATAATTATCTGTTATAAATTGAAATTGGGATTAACGATAAACTTTAAAAATTTATGATTTAGATTGTTCGTATATGAAGATGTTCTAATTTGAACTACTCAGTTGCATGGTAACTGATGTACAGTAACACTTTAGCATTACTAATTCATAGATTAATACGAGATAGAGAAGATAGGAATTTCAGTTTAACATTGTATTCTAAACAGAAATCGAAATGAAAACGTAGCAACTTTGTGTCAAACATAGTAATATACAGTGACCTTAGGATAGCAAAATTAGTAAGCTAATAGTGTTAACGACATGTAAATATATGGTTTAGAAAAGTTTTATCTTTACTAGCAATAAAAATCATTTATCAACTAAAATCTAGATAAATTTACTTGGTTGCCAACAGCTCACTGCCTTTTTTAGTCAAGGGCTAGCTAGTTGAATGCAGTACTCGACTTTAGGACAACTGAACATTGTGTACGAAGTCAAAAAGATTCTAGCATCGACATGACTGAGGGCTGTACGTATTTACGATAAGGTTATCGCACAACAGTAGTTTCAATTCTTAGCTAACGACGACTCCTGGGTCATTATTTTGTCTGTACTACAGGTAACTCAATATTATTCACCATGTATGTATTTGTATTTTGATGACCAATATGCGCCAAAATGTACAAGGAAACAGTTATCGTCAACTGTCAAATTCTATATTATTCAGATAATTTTTGCAGATCATTTCGATGCCCTAAACAATCACCTTTTTTAACGCTCTCTATACCTTGATATCGCCAGAATGCAGCAAAACCGATGGTGTTAGGGGACTAGGAAGGTCATCCAAATACGGAAGGAACAACCATGGCCCCAGCAACGTGTGTTCGGACTCAGCGACAATCATTGTGATCTTGAAACACCAGCTTTAATAACTTGAGTATATGCTTTGAACGACCTCCCAAATAGTTCAACATCTTGCATTATTTACCGATTTTAGGACTGGTCTGAAAAAGCATGGTGGTGGTCAGTTTATGAGTGCCGACATATGAGAGCTGTACAAGACTGACTTCTGTTGCCCGTTCACGAATCCTTTGTTGGAGTCCTAGAGACAATGCATTACAGTGGCTCAGAATGGAAGCCAGTGGCGTTTCTGCTGTAATCGCTTTTACTTTCTTCATGAAAGTCAGAGTAACTTTTCTTATTGACAGAATTTTTTCTGGTCGTAGTTTTCTTAAATGAACTGCTTCTTCCATTTTCTACTTCCATTCACTTGGTTTTATTCATCTAATATTCTTTCTACTATGCTCACTTTCCTTCCCTTATCTATTCACAATCTCATTTTCTTATTGTGGGGCACACTACCAATTTTGGCAGCCCTTGGTACTAATGGTTCTTAAATTAATAAATAACAGAATTTGACAAACGAGGGATATAAAGTTAAAAAAGAAAAAAACTTTTCATAAGTATATTTCTGATATCTTCCTGATGTCTATGAAATCATTTCAATTGACTGACATATTTATATTCTGAATTATTACTAGCAAGATAGTTTAAATCCTAATCCTGACTTTAAGTGCCTAACGACATCATCATCCAAGCCAATCATCTATACTCGATAGACTAAATATATATTTAGCACATTTGTCGTGACCTTGAAGCGATTCGCTCGTTATTGACTAGCTCCCCCTTATGCTAAGCTTTACCGACGTTGATATTTACGAAATGTAAAAGTATTTATATATAGGCTGGTTCATAGACCGAAAGTAGATTTACTTATTTACAGAAGACTTTGATGTTCCGAATATTTCTAGAAGACAGAACTAAATAAGTAATAAGTTATTTATCTACTTCATCTAACTTTCTATCGGTAAATAATATTTCAGGTTCATTACATCTATTTTGATGGGTTTTCAAATGGTCATATTGACATTCTCCTAGTCAATGTTTTGACTAAACTTTACAAATGAGTGCTTTTTAATACATGAATGCCTTTCAGTCAAATCAGTGAGCATAACCAGCACAAAGGAAACCAAAATCCATAGTTGATCTATTATTTCAGAATCTGGAAACGTTCTTACCTATATCTCAAAAATATATTTTCCATTTTCATTTTACTGATTATCATTTCATTCATAGACTCATCATATGCAGTGCTTGGCTGAAAAGGATAACTTCCATGGAATCGACTGTCACATATTTGAAAATCCCAAACCAATGACTATGGCATTATCTGTTCTAGTGCTCATTGAAATGTTTAACGCCTTGAACAGGTACCTTTTTGTTATCAACTGAAAATGTTGCATTTTGCTGTATAAACTGATGAATTTCTTTTATTTTTTAATTCTTTGTTTTCTCCTAAACCTAGACTCACCAGTCTCAGTGTCTAGCTCAGGAATCTCGTTTTGAGGGTGTAGACTGTTCTATCTTCAGTCATCCAAAGCCTATGACAATGGCTTTATCTGTTCTGGTTCTTATTGAAATGTTAAACGCTATGAACAGGTGAGTAGGCCGTCCACGTATACACACATTTGCATAGACATTTTACTGCACAATGAACTAAAATCACACATTAATCATCATTCAAATGAATGAAAAATCAGTGAAATAAACATATTCATCACAAAAAAACACCATTTTATTTCTATGAATTTTTGCATGCAGTGTAACTTAACGTTTTATCTCTTGTTATTTAAAACAATTGCCTACTATTTCATGCTGAACAAAGGGGCTCCTAGGGTGATAATGCAATTAATAATAAGTTAATTCCTTACCAGAACATTGTTGTTCCTTAACATAAATGTTTGAGAAAATATGATTATATGACATTTAATTCTGGACACTGCAAAAACATATTAGTAGAATGAAATATATATGTTTGGCGTATAATGCATTCACCGTGGAGCCCTTATTAGTTACTGTAGTAGGCTGCCACTAAGATTCTTTGACTAGATTAAAACATGGAAGCCCCTTTGCTCGGCTGAACAAGTAGGTATTTTATTTCAAAGAAGCTTCTTAAACATATTATACACACATTTGATCACACATTTATTTACAAAGAAATTCATAGTGGCGGCCTACTCAGTAATCCACAGCGTTATTTCCTTAAGTTTATTGTGTAATTTACGCATGCGGATACATTGTAACATTTTGATCTAGTTTAAAAGGATATATGTATATGTATAGTGTTTTTCTGATACTTATATATTTTGACGTATATTTCAAAAATATCTTTATTTTCCACTAATATTATGATCCTGCTATTTCAAACTTCAATTAACAAAGTAATTTTAAAATCTGATTTTCAAGAAGTTTACTGAAATCAGGTACAACTTGAGGAGACTAATTGACGAAGGTGTCAAAGCAGATTGAAGTAAATTTCCCTTAAATTAGGATACAAATGTGTCTGTTAGTCATTGTGAGCAAACGTAATTTGATATGGATTCACCTTTTATATGTTTACTCTGAGAATTTAGCCACACTGTTAGCATCACTAATTTTATTGAATTTACTAATAATCAGTCCGCTTAACATTAAATGGTACTAGTGATCTTTGCTTTAAGAACTTGCGCACCAAGTATAATGATGCTGAATGACCCAGAAATCTTCCTAAGTCTTTGTAACTTCCCTAATCTTGCAATGAGAAAAACTAGCCGATTTACTCTGTTTATATCATAACTCAAAGCTTCACCTATCTAGACTATCTAAAACTAAGTAACAGGTACTTGTTCAATTCGCTGCAATCTATGAACAGTAAAAGAAATATCAGTAGTTAATAATTTCAAAGAAAGTTTACAATTAGATCACTATAAAAATACCATTTACGAAATACTTAATAAATACTGAATAAAAATACGCGTAATAATCCTCCATAAAATAGTTCTTCAAATTTCATATCTAAAACAGTTATTCAACTCATTCTGATGAATGAATGAATAGTGATTTGTTAACTGATCCAATTTAACAAAAACAGATTTAGAAAGATTCATGAAAACTTAAATAACATGTCCAAATAATCAAAATACTAAAGTTCTAATAACAGAAAAAAGCATAAAATGCGATAGTAACAAAAAACTAGTAGGTTTTACAAAAGATATGTTAATATTTTTAAAAAAAAAGTAAATAAATTTACACTATGGACATTGATATCACTTCATATTAGTTATGATCACCTGCTTCGGTTTGGGAACCCGGGCAGTATCACAGCTCTCACACATATCGAATGAGATTTTATGTGGCGCATATGTATTTGGTGCCTCCTTGTACCAATATCTATGTGTTAAAATAAATAAATAAATAATAGTTATGATCACCATTCAACAAGTCAGTACTACACTTTTTAATATGGATACCAATTTTCTGAATCAAAGTAGAGTGAATTTAATAAAACAAAAACAAACAAACAAAACTCTATTAGCTTTAAATGTTACTTTCAGAAATAATCCCTGTAATCACATAATTATTTGTGACATATGATGAATAACATTTAAGGATAGATAAATGTTAAACAATAATATTGTCATTGTTGACAATTATCATTTCCTTGATTTCATTATCTCACTAACTATCTGGTATTTATGATACATAATTTAAAGAAAATGTCATATTTCGTTATATCAGTAGTTAATAAGTAATCTCTAGATAAATAAGACTAATAAATATCTTAATAGTTGAGATTGTGAATCAATTGAAGCCAGACCACCATGGAAAACCTGAAAGCACTGGAAGGTCGTATCGTCCTATTGCGAGACTCCTCAACAGTGAGTACCCATGATCCAGCACGCAGGACGAAACGGCCGTCCAGTGCTTCCAGGTTTTCTATGGTGGTCTAGCTTCAATTGACTCATGATCTCAACTATTAAAATCAATGAATATTTAATTATTTCATCAAAATGAAGATTTATTCGTATTCAAATAAAGAATATCTTATCTGATTTATATAGTTTCCTGTTTAATAAATAATTCAAAAAGTGTTCTTTTTTAATCACAGGTGAATAATTTCAATAGTTGAGATGATGAGTCAGTTGAAGCTAGACCACCATGGAAAACCTGAAAGCACTGGACGATCATTTCGTCCTATGACGGGACTCCTCAGCAGTACGTCTCTCGAGATTCGAACCCAGGACCTATCGGTCTCGTGCGCGAAGGCGCCAGATGACTCATGATCTCAACCAGTAAAATTAGTATAATGTCCACAAAAACCCATTCTGATACGACTGAATAAGTGTTAACTTTTAAAACTGTCATTGAACCATTGAGTAATGTGATTGTCATCAATGGATATAAAGTGGAAAAGAACTTCTTCATGATGGCAATTCACTTGATTGAACAATACAACAAGTATTTAATTGTTATTAGTTAATAACTATGTCAAAATGCTTCATCAGTTTAGCCTACAATAGAAGTACTAAATACTATGTATTCAAAAACCTGACTGAAATGATGTGAAAAAAAAAGATCATAGAAAATAGTTGTTCAGTCCTGTGTTAATTTTATTCTGCTCATGATGTCCTGCGACATCACATTTGGAAGCTAAAACATTAGCTTGGAAAAATTAGATGACTTTGATGATTTGAATTATCGTTAAAATTTGGTAATAGTTAGTAAGGGTGTTACTATACGCAGGCAATCAGATTAAAATGACCTAATTTTTTACTACCATCAAAACTGTGACTCATTGATGAATTCTTCTTCATAATAGTAAGAAGGCTATTAAAGCCACTGATTATTCCATTCATTCGGTTTTACTAGATGTGTTTACGTAATCAGTAACTGGTAAATGTTCTGACAATGTTTGCGCAATCGTAACATATACTACTTAATTCGTTTGCTAAATAGTCAATCTTTGATCACTAATTTAGATGTACAAAGATATTAACTTTAGGGAAAAATATGTCTGTCGCATCCGTAACCCCTCCCCCTTCAACAGCTTTTACTTATATCCATATATCCTTATACTGACCAGACAATCTAATCAAGAATTTGATGAACTACAGATTACAAGATTGATATTTCATTACTTTCATCGAAATTGACGACCCTATTCAAATGAATTAAAATTATATCAGAAAAATCAACTGTGATGAAGTTTACTTAAGTTTTTTCACTCAGCTAATCGTAAACTAAATGATCATATTTAAGCTTTATTACGTGTTTAATTCATTTTAATACTTTACTTATTCAACACCGTAGAAAACTTACACTTAATTGACAAGCATAATTAATTATTCAATTAAATTTGTACAAAGTTAGTATAAGTAATCTCACTAACGAAAATTCAACATTATGAACTGAATCTTATTGTTTTGACTATTACAATATTTTATATACAAATACTTATTTTCAGACAAGTTAGGCTATTATTTTAGTTTTCCCATCGATGTTATCTTAATTCACAAGCATTATAAGCACAGATAGATGGTGGCTATCAGTAGAATCCAAGACGTGCGTTTCGTTTTATTTGGGCCTCGTCAGCCGAATGAACTAGAAAATTTTCAATGTATTTTCTTGGATATAATCTAATCAAATTGTGACATATGAGAATTAAAAAAATTTGTTTTAAATGTATTCATACTGTTTAGTAGTTTTGTTACTTACACTGAATGATGATGATTTTCTTACTTTTCTCTCATCGTCTGATGTTGTTTTTTTCAAACAGCCTTTCAGAGAATCAATCACTGGTTGCTATGCCTCCATGGGTAAATATATGGCTTGTACTGGCTATGATTGTTAGTATGTCATTGCACTTCTTGATTTTAGAAGTTGACTTTCTCTCAGTAAGTTAAATACGTTTCATTTGTTTAAGTTCTATTCAATGTTTAGTTTACTGTGATTTATTGGATTACAACAGAATACGTAGCGAAATTGGTTTCTATTTCACAATGGAGAAATATTAGAAATCTAAGTGCACCAGACATTTCAACTTAAAATAATGAATCAACGTGAACTCACCAACCCATATAAGGCGAAACCTTAGACGTTTAGCCTCTGAATAAAGTACAATGTTAGGCGGTTGGAGATTGTCAGAAGGAAACCCTAGACTTAGGTTTCTTGCTAGTTGGCAAGGAATACGATACTTAATGAACCGATTCTCTTTCCAACATTAGAACCTGCATCAACCAGCCTCACATTCCGGATAGCATAATACTCATAGGTCGTAGAATTTGAAAGACAATGTGATCACTTCAGACGGAGACAACCCAATGTAGTTCAGTAAAAAATTACAGAATTTCTTGCTAAAATATAAGAACCATATATTGAAAACTTCATTTGCAAAATTCCATCATTTTTCCTTCACATTCTCTATTAATTACCAAATCACAATTCCTTTCTATTTTTACTTCTGTTTTCTCTTCAACTTGATCCGCTTAAACTTCTGCTCTCAGGTTTTCCACTTCCGAATGGCGTTACACAATGCTTATATCTGTTGATATAAGTAGCATACACCACAAAATAAGCCTTAGAATGAATTTAACTTAAAATCAAAGCTAGAATATTGTTAGGCTTTATTATAATAATTTCTGTACATAAACTGTTTTGTATGCTCGTTTGTCTAGAACGATACTTGTAAGATCATTTATATCAGTCAGTTCACAGATATGAGTATATTCATTTTGACAGTTGACTATTTTTAAGGCCAGTCAATTGATTATAAGCTACATAGAACCTAACAAATATGTGTATCATTTCTGGTTTCCACACCACATTAGTGCAGTTAGGTGAGAACATTAGTATCAGCGTGGTAGATGAAGTATTATTATTAGTAGTAGTAGTATAAAATATTAGGTATAGAAAATATGATTCGGGAAGGAAGAATGGATTCGCTGAATAAAAAGTACTAGATAATTCGAAAACTCAAGATCTAAGGGAAGACAAAGAACGAATGTATCTGAGACATTGTGACTAACCCTGAGTTATGTCATTCATCGTCTCCAGCAAGGAGACCAACCAGGTAACTTGTACCTACGAACACGTCTCAGCACAATACTCTGTAACTGAAGCTAGGTCTCTCTTTGGTCTCACTTGGTACTTACGAATATAGTGAATAGAGGTAGGTTGAAATAAGCTATATGTAACGCACTTCCCAATCTCCTAAATCAATGAGGATTCATTACCTCTTCAACCGATTAACCGTCTAAACCAAATGCCTTGAGTCTAACTTCAGGATTGCTTAATCGATGGTCCCGACATACACAGGTAATGCATCTCTGACCAAACACCAGCAACATACGGATATCTTTTTACTAAAATCTGAGAACCATGCAGTAAAGACCTAATTTGCAAAATGTCAATTGTCAATTGTCTCAAACTTGAATGTTTCTTTTGCAAATATCAGTCCGTCGTCTCAGATTTCATTTTTCCCTTCATTTTCACACCAATTGCTTTCCGTTCCCGTCCTTTCCTTCTCGATCTTTTACTGAAATACATTCTGTTCCTGACTATCGTTATATACTACTTATGTGAATATAAGTAGCTCACACCACAGTACTATCCAATCTCACTATTATCTTGATAAACAAATCCAATCCCAATTAGACATGATTTTCCGTTCAACAATCGAATTCATTATTGTAATTTCGTTTTGGATTGCATTGAATAAATTAATTAATTAGTTTTTTTTTCTAATTTCCCATTATATTTGTACTTTGTTTGATGTATAGAAAGTCTTTCAAATCACTCCATTATCATTGGAAGAATGGTTTATGGTAGTTAAAATCTCTGCACCAGTAATATTTATTGACGAAATATTAAAATTAATTGCCAGGCGGTTTACGGATGGTACGTTTAGTGTCATTCTAGCTTTTTCATTTACATTATTATCTATTTTAACAAGCGTTTTTTTCATTAATTTATAATTTGTAACTTGTTTTCCTCATCTTATAACCTTTTTAACATATAACTAGACTGTAAGATATCTGTATAGATACTATGAGAGAAAATGTTTTCTTATAGTTAAATAGCATTTACATCTGTTTAAATTTGGATAACTAAACTTTTAACATTATTATTTTATGAAACATTGATAGGAGAAAGAGTTATGTCTTCAATATGTTCTCGTTACATGTTTAATATCCATTGAAAGATTTATTTCAAATCAGGGTTCGTTCTAGTTGGCATCCATCATCATAAAAGCATCAGTCTCATTAGGGTTACAGGTATATTTTAAATATTTCATCAGGGATAAATTTAAATGTATAAATTAATTTTCTTAAAATAACTTGTAACTTTAGCTGTACACAGATAAAATCTACAAAATGTAGGTATAACTTTATAGATTATATTAGAAATTATTAGCACTTATACAGCCAGGAAGTACCAGACAGTCGTTTCGTGCTAATATGAGATTAATCAGTGGTACATATACACAATCGCGTTTGTAGATTAAACTCAGGGTTTCGAATATATCTATGGGTGCCTAACATTTAGAAAACTGAGTTAGTATCTAGTGGCTTACGTGTTTAACTTTAATTGTTTTGTGATATTGTTCAACTATCTTCCAATACCATTGATCGATAACTCAGTGCCTCAAATCTGACATGCTTGAACTCTATTAGTCACTAATTCTTAGTGAGACGTTTTGAATTATATCTCGAAACTGAGCATATAATTATTAATTCCTTTAGTAGATTATCAAAATCATTGAATTTTATAAGTAACATCACAAGACTTGAAGATCATGGGACTATATTTCACTAAGACTAATCCTTGATGTAATCCATGAAATTGAACAGTCTGAATAAGCCTCCTACAGTAAGTAAATACAACTGCAAAATATCATATATTGATTTATCCATACTTTTCCAAATCTGCTTCATAATATTTTTTTAATTTTATTAAAGTAATTAATTCGCTTTATTTTCTATTCTATTTCAAGTTCCTACCAATATCGGTGAATTGAAGTAATCATGATAAAAAACAATAATGAAAATTCTATTAAGTCGAATAAAACAACATCCTTTATCCTAATTCCCCTTTTCTTCAAAACAAACAAAGCAACAAAAAAAGATCTCATTCTAATAACAGTTTACAATTCATTTCTTTAACACTCTTCCTATCTACACCTTGTTCCTAAAAAAAATACAAAAAAAAGAGAAAATGTTTTCGTCACAAAACTCTCCTTAGATTTCTTTCTTCATTTATTCATCAAATTGTTTACATTTTTCAAAGTAGTCAATAATTACATTATACAAAACATTTATTTCATATTTCAATAGAATCAGCTCAATTTTATTTGAACAAATGTAATAATAGTGTTATTTGAAATCAATCCGTTACATAACTAATGGAATATCACTTCATATAGATCTATGTTATCTGTTAACGTTTTGATAAACTACGACTATATTAAGGTTTGAAATTATATATATATTATGTAATAGTAAAATGATACACATCTTGAATTCAATATACTTTTTAAACTCTTGGATTGTTTATTTAAACCAAATATACATTAGAGAATAATGTTAACTAACTAATTACTTACGAACGTTGTTTTTTTATTCTTCTCAAATAAACATGATATCTATCCGTTAGTAACCCAATAGAAATAAAATATTTGTTTACAGTGCAATGGTTTGTTTGTTTGTTTTTTCTCTCGAAAATAATTCACTAACTATACAATATATGTTTCTACTCCCTAAATTCTGAAGTTGAAGTATTCAATTTTCATTTCTTCTATCCAGTAGCTCAATCATCTTTTTTCTTAGAAATCCTTTTTGTTTTTTTTTTAAGAGGGAGGGTTGTTTTTTTCTATTTTTCGATTTCCCAATAGTTTCTTTATTTTTTTCTGTGAAGTAAATTTTGTTATGTTGGTCTCTTTATCACTCTCTTTCTTTCCTTTATGTTTCATGAAAGAGTATTTAATTATAAGGATTTTTCAATTAGTTAGAACTATGTCATCATCAAAAAGGAATAGTTGGAAAATCTAAAACAAAAAATCTCTTCTTTTTTTAAAACGTAATGTCTTTGGAACAAAAGATAACATTTCGACTATTCAATTAACATGAAACGAGGATCAATTACTTTATGACTGATTTATTCAATCTAATCAGTTTTCATATATTCACTTTCATGTTCATTATTGATTAGAAAAAAAAGATTTACATTGTAATTTTAACAAAAAAGTTCCCCCTATTTAAAAAAAATGAGGGAGAAAGAGAGAGATAAGGAGAGAGAGAGAGAGTCACAAAAGAGATAAGAATACCATTTTTCTTGTAATGTCCAATTGATTAACATCATTTACTAATTGAGACAATAATCAATTAACATACATTTATCATTGACAATAATCAAATAATAATCATACAAAATTGTAGAAAACAAATTTGATTTCTTCTTTGTTTGTTTGTTTATTTGTTTTTCACAATAGTTATAGTTATTTACATAGATTAAAATTATTACTATTATTATGTTCTTCAATATTGAACCCGTGTCCTTTGAATATATATATATATATATAATGATCTATGTAGACTATTGAAATATATATTTGATTGTAGTGAGATCAAATTATAAACGTTCACCAACAAACTGTGTAAATTATGATTTATCGTCGTCTATAGTAAGTTATAAACACGATTTTAGAGCTAGTTGATATTCATTAGTAAAGCGTATATGTAGTGTTTAGATAACTGATACTTCTTGTAACATTCAAATTGTTCTTGTTGTATGTTACAGATTGAGAAGTGATAATGAGATTATTTAGACTATGATTAACCTGCTGAATAAAGGACTATACAATAACAAAACTTTATAAGCAAAGATGAATGGTGGCTAGTAGTGGAGTCCAAGACGCATGTTTCGTACTATTTGGGCCTCGTCAGCTGGATGTGCCTGCATCTCAGAATTGATGTTCACCCCAGGACTCGGACCTAGCACTATTCGCTTGAAATGCCGTCGCATTATCCACTTAGCTATAGAGTTCTGATAGCCACCTGCTTGTGCGATGGAGTGAAGTTTTAAATTCACTCGTTATTTTTTTGCTTGAATCTTTCCATTGATGTTTATGACTGTAATTGATCAGTGAACGGTAGTGGGTTCGAGTTCTGAAGTGAATATCAACTCTGGGATGCAGGTACATCCGGTGGACGAGTCCCAAATAAGACGAAACGCGCGTCCTGGATTTCAATTTCAGTCACCATCCAAAGGATACAATACACTTGTTTCGTTTGAATTCAGAACTTGGTAGTAATGCTTGCTCACTGTCTCATATAAGAGCAAAACCAGTACTTTTACTTGTTGAAGAGAGCAAGAACAAAAGTTTGAGCAGAATAACATAGATTCACTTTATTTCGTTTGGTTCTTGTCAGATCCTTACAACCTGTGATATTTAAAAATCATAATTACAAAATGGGTTCATATGACTTATATGAAAGAGTTTAGTTGGAAGTTATTTTGAAGACACGTCAGTATAGTGTAGGCAACGGTGTACCTAAATATAATACACTGAATAAAATACTGTAAACATGTATCTTGTGTAAAAGTACAGTCTATAACGTTAACTGTAACAAGAGTAAACACTGATATGAATAAAATGAGTAAAGCTAAGTGAATAAAATAAGATTACTAACCTAGAAGAAAGTCGTAATAAAAGGATCTAATGATATAATCCAGTGAAACAAAGAATTTTAAAAAATTTCCAAGATGCAATGAAGGAATATTCGTCACTATGGCAAGGAAAGATTAGTAACCATTTCCTTTCGAACACATAAATCAGGTTTTCGACACCTGATAGCAATGGCTTCAGCAAAATCCTGAAGGCTAGAGCTTAGCTGTTTAATAATTAATCACCTTGAAAAGTCGCACAGTATCAACCTGATGTCTTGTACCCAAGAGACATTTAGTAATTGCACAGTTCTAAGTTGTTCTTTCTCTTGTTCCAAGGCTTTCTTGGACATGCTCGAACAATCTAAGATATACCCTCCTTTCTGTTCGGCCAATGTAGCTGCTTTGGCAGGCGCACGTAAATTTATAAACACAGTTGGCGGTAACAGGAAAGGTGTGCTTTTCGACCTTTGATTAGGTTATTGAACATGCTACTTTATACAGAATTTATAGTTTGATTGCCGGTCAGTTCTGGCTAATCCAGTGTTAAGACTCCTGATTGTGCATGCGACGTAATCACATTTGAAATTGAGATTTATGGATATGGTTTATTATTGACTGTAGTTACCTCCGTATTGTTTTTTGGTTTTCCTTACATTTCTCGATAAATTTATGTAGGTAGCAGTTGTCTCAGGCATTTTTCAACGTCTGTCAACTATTCCAGTTTGTCGGTGGTACATATACTTTCTACCCCATAAAATAGTGTTTTGATCAACGCTAGATAAACAGCCACAAAAGTTTTACTTACTTACTTTATTTACGCCTGTTACTCCTGATGGAGCATGGGCCGCCGACCAGCATTCTCCAACCCATTCTGTCCTGGGCCTTCTTTTCTAGTTCCATCCAATTCTTGTTCATTCTTCTCATGTCTATCTCCATTTTTCGGCGTAATGTGTTTTTTGTTCTTCCTCTTCTCCTTTGGCCTTGAGGATTCCATGTGAGGCTTGTCTTGTGACGCAGTTGTGTGCTTTCCTCAATGTGTGTCCTATCCACTTCCAGCACTTCTCCTTGATTTCTTCCTCCGCTGGCATCTGGTTTGTTCTCGCTCACAATAGGTTGTTTCTGATAGTGTCTGGCCAACGGATCCGAAGTATTTTGCGTAGACAACTGTTAATAAACACTTGTATCCTCTGGATAATAGCTTTCGTAGTTTTCCAAGTTTCCGCTCCATACAGTAGAACTGTCTTGACATTTGTATTGAAAATCTTGACCTTGGTGTTGGTTGACAGTTGTTTTGAGTCCCAGATGTTCTTCAATTGCAAATATGCTGCTCTTACTTTGCCGATCCGCGTTTTCACATGTGCATCAGACCGACCATGTTCATCAATGATGCTGCCCAAATATGTAAAGGTTTTTACATCTTTCAAATCCTCTCGTCAATTTTGATTGGATTGGTGCATACTGTATTGTATCGGAGAATCCTGCTTTTCCCTTTGTGTATTTTGAGACCTACTGCTGCTGAGGCTGCTGCTACACTGTTCGTCTTCTCCTGCATTTGTTGTTGCGTTTGGGATAGAAGGGCCAGATCATCTGCGAAGTCTAGATTGTCCAGCTGCATCCTAGCTGTCCACTTTTTTAGCCCTACAGTCCTTAAAACGATAGTTAAAATAATCTATCTAAACTAAAAGTCGGATATCCCGCTCGCTCTCAAGTAATTAGAATAAAATTATGTTTGATAGTTTACATTGCAGACCGATCTATGTTAGACAATATTTGGAATCCAGGAAGCACTGAACAGTCTTCTTCATCCTAGTACATGACTCCTCAGCGGTTTAGGTATACAAACACGCAGGAAATTGAAGCCAAGAGTTTTAGATCTTTCTGTGAGTGCTTATCCTTCATTAGTGAGAGTGGTTGACTTCTAGATCACTGAGACAGCATCTGATAGTTTACATATCTAGTTTCAATCAGTTCACGATATTACTGAACCATCTTTCAGTAAAGTTGAGGGGTGAATAACTACTTCACACTCTGCATGAGTGAAATCTACTGGTCATGACATTTTCCTTGAACTACATCTCGAAACTAGTTACTAAAGATTACATAATTAATATATACTGTTCAACATTGCGAAGTAACTGAAGCTAGACGTATAAACCACTAGATGCTTCCTCAGTAATCTAGAGGTTAAACACTCAGAAAGATCTGAAATTTCCGGATCCTATCCTTTGTAGTATGGTGGGACGTGCACTGCTGAAGAGCCACACACTAGGACGAAACAGTCGTTCAGCCCTTCCTGGTTCGCACTAGCTCTCTGATTTAGATAAGTCAACGATATAAACTATGAAGTTCGATAATCTCTGAAAGTCCCTCTATTAATTATGATTCACTTAAACTAGAATTTATACTCTCATCTTAATTTAGCTAAATAGATGAACAACGTGAGATTTTTACTCAACAACATTCATTTCAGTCTGTTGGCCTACACTTCATTGAATTTTTATTTAAACAGTTTGCTGAATCATCATCATTCATACCAAAAATTATTAATCATTTATGGTTTATTGATAATAACCTAACATGTTTAACAAGTTTCGTCCATTTGCTAACTACTTGGGTGAAATCCTAAGTGCCGTCGAGGACAAAGGTGACTAATTCTTGAGTGTTATAAACTGGTGTGTGTATTTTATTTTTGAATTTGTGTCAGTAATTTAGGTCATTATCAGTTTGACCAATAGGTAGAATAAAAATACTTATTTAAAAACTTAGCTAGAAATAATTAAAATTATCAGTATGAGGTTGTAGAGATTGTTAAGTTTTTGATTGAGACTATGAATCTCCACAACCCCATACTGATAATTACCATGTGCTCAATAGCGACTAGCTTCGTAAGGGAACTCTCGGAGTTCTAGTGAGAAGCCGTGACCAGTGGAGCTAATCCATGTCAGGTAGAGACAGGTGTCTATCTCAGACAATGGAAGATGGTTGCGCGATTTTGTGGATTGGTTGAAGTAAAACATTAACACCGATAGATGCCGGCTCAGCGATCTAGAGATTAAGAGTTCACGCGCGAGACCAAAGGTCTTGGGTTCAAGTCCCTTTGGTGCTGGATCGTGGATGCGCACTTCTGAGAAGTCCCGCAATAGGACGAAACGGCCGTTCAGTGCTTTCAGGTTTCCATTGGTGGCCTAACATCAATCGATTCACGATCTCAATCAAAAACATAATTAAAACTTATTCATCTATTTTCAAGTGTTAACCAATTGCAATAACATGTACAGATGAAATATCGACTATTTTTTCTCGGTCAACCATAATGTAGTAGCCAATATCTTCAAATAAATAATTCAGAAAATGTTCAACACTTGCTACTATCCTATTTAATTTCAATGAATAATGTCTACCTAAAAATAAGATCTACACTGTACTATTTGTAAAAACGCCCCACTTAGCTATACATGAAATCTCCTCATTGTTTACTTCTATTCTCAAATAAATTTATTGTTCCCCTAAGACCATTATTATTTTCCTATCTTATCCACTATCAATTGGATACATACGAATTATGGGAGTATGACTTATTGGATGTTAGGTATCAATGTCATTAGATGATATTGAAGTTAGCTCTCCATAGTAGTAATATGTTTTCTCTGTATATAGTTAAGTGTGCCTGTATATGTTTATCTAAGTATTTGTTCGCACATAAATGTGTAGACAATGTGCTATGTTTCCAGTGCTTTAAGAAGAATAACGTTAGAGAATTTCTTTAGCCTATCATCCGTGTTATTATATCCTTAGAAGTTGCGAACTTGATTACATTTTAAATTGCATTACCAACAAATACACATTCTCAGTAACTGAATAGTCAGTGGTTTTTTAAAACCACTTTACAGATTTTTATGGTAAATTCAAGTGAGGGT